GATTATGTCAGTGCTTAGGAAGCTGGGCTTCTTATGTATGCTTCTCACATTCTGCTTTGGGGTCTGATTCCTCTTGGCTGAAAAGGTGAGCCTTTTGATGCAGTTCTCCTGGATATGACATCTCTGTTCTGAAATCATCCTCTGTCTTTCCAGAACCCTTGGGAAACTCCACTCTTGCTTTTGTTCATCTCACTGTGTTCTCGACTCCTTAGAAAATGTATTCATACGTCCCTGCCTTCTCCAAAAGAAGGGAAATCTAGGGTTTTTTTTATCCCCCTTTTCATTTGCCAGCTTTCCCTTTTCCCTTCTCTGTGTCTTTCCTTCCCGGGGTTGACTCATGTTTGGTCTTCTGAATCTATGGAATATATTCCTCTGGGCTCGGCATTATGTTTTTGTCTATGTTGTGACAGGCAAGCCTGACTAGTCAACCACAAATATACAAGAATATTGCTTAAGGCCTGCTCATCAAAAGCGAGGTCCATGCACCTGCATAACTAGTGTCACCTAGGGTATTATTTGAAATGCATAATTTTGGGCCTGACTCAGACCTACTGTATCAGAATCTGCATTTAAAGCTGATCCCCAGGCAGTTCCGATGAATGTTCAGTTTGAGATGCTCTTAAGGAACATTGAGAATGGAAAGTTATTATGCACCTTAGAATTTCACTCTCATCTATGGGTTTTCGGATTCACAGTTGAAAATGTTGATTCATAGTTATCTCAAACTGTAATGGTCTGACTGGTTCTCAAATACTCAGTGTTCCTAAAGAGAGAGAGGGTCCATAAACTTTGGGTCTGGGTCAGGCAGCACAGCTGATGTTCTCCTGTAAACACTGAAGTTCCTAATTTGTCTGCTTATTCAGTTGGAGGGCATCCCTCTCCCACACAAATGTGGCAGTGAAGGTGCCTGTGAGTTGGGCCAAATTTTCTCCTTAAAAAGGCTTCAAATGTGCTCAAACACTAGGAACAAGTGTTTGGTTATCGTCCCAGAATTCCTGGCACATAAAGCATGAAGAGACAATTTTGGATTGAAACTTCTTAGGGTAGTTGTTACTACTAGCGACCTTGATCGCAGAAAAGAGCCTTCTTAACCCCTGATTTGGGGTAAAACATGATGATGATGGGTTAATATAAAATGTATCCCTAGCATGCCACGAAGCTGAAGAAGCTGACCTGTTGGGTAAAGTTCTTTAGTGTTGTCCACTTAAACAATGGAGAAGGTCTGCCAAGCATGGTGATTTCAGACTTAGCAGAGTTATAAACTTTTTTTTCCCTTTTGCAATAGTTATCCAATGAGTTTAGCTGCTTCTTAAGGTAATTGTCATTTCTAACAATAAAATTACATTAATGGAGCAAGTTCTTAACCTTAACTGTACATTTGAACCTGCAGGAAGCTTTAAAATATATTGATTCCTCAGTTTGCAAAGAATGCTGATTTAATTGGTCTGAGCTGAGGCCTGGGTTTCAATGTATATAGGGCTCCTCAGGTGATTCTCACATGTAGCCAGGTTTGCTGGGTGCTGTCATAGAGGGAGGAGGGCCTTATTTTCTGATTTACCAGTGTTCATGTAGCCAGTAAATCTAATAGATGAGTCACATTACCAGATATGCTAAAAATCAGAGTCACCCACTCACTAGCTGTGTGCCCTTGAAAGAGCCATTTAAATTTTTTAAGCCTCAGTTTTTTCTTGTCTAAAATAAGGACCATTACTATGTTAGAGGATAGTTGTGGAGATTTAAATAAAACACATAAGATGACTACAGCAGTGCCTAGCATGCAGTAAGCACTCAACAAAATAGGAGTTCTTGCAAAGAATTGTGGACATGGCCCTTTTATAGACACTTAGGAATAGAACTGGATCTCCTCTGAGTCAGGTGGTAGTGTTACCTACTGTACAGGCTTTGACAGGGAGCTTTTTCCTGAGGTTGTGCATTTGGACCCACAGATGGCACCTACACTAAGATCAAGGAAGGCTCTGAAGAGGTCCCTCATTGTTCTTAGCTGTCTTCAGACGAAACAGAATGGAGCAGTGGCCATTTAGTCCTCAGGCAAATAGAAACTCAGCCCAGAAACCCATGGAGAATAAGACTAATAAAATATCAAAGGACATCCCAGGAGAAAGTAATGGGTCTCAACTTTGAGAATTAGATTGTCTCCCTTTTTAAAAAAGGACAGGTGTTGACACTATGAGCTCATTAAAGCCAGTGAAAAAATTGAAGTAAATGTGTGGTGAATAACACCCCTCATGGAAATCTAGGAACCAGTAATCTCTTGGATTGTTGTTTTCTATTTAATTTTAGGCTATTGGTCAGAGATTTAAAAATAAATGCCTTCTCTATTTTTCTTTTTAAAACCTGTTTATTTGAATGTGAACAATATGATGGAAATACATGTATATATACATGTATGTGTGTGTATAGCACACATTTATACCATTCGTTTAAATATAAATCAGGATTTTGTAAATAGATCCATAGCACTTTAGAACCAAAGGACTTCTGCTAGGATGAACTGTGGAATCTCCAAAATGTGACAATAATAGCAAGAGTAGAAATTCAAGTGACATCATTCCCCTGGTTTTCAATCAAAATACTGGCTCTATACTACTCTTGCAGAAGCCACACCAAAGGTATCCATGCTTCCCAATTTGCACTTTTAAATGCAACCCAGATTTGGCCACTCTAGCTGACCTGAAAATCTCCCATTAAAACAGATTCTAAATTGTAGTCTTTTCTACATAATTGGGCTGCCCATAGGATGATTTGAATATAATTTATGTGTAATGTTAACTCAACTCTGGCTTAATTCTAAGCTCTCTTCCATTCTGTTGCCAGAGTGGCCTTTAGAAAACAAGAGACTTGGTTATGTCACTTCACTATTCAGAAAATCTTCAACAATTTCAAATCAATGTCCTTAGCTTGGCACTCAAAACTCCAACAAATCTTGCCCCAAATTACTCTCTGGTTCTGAGTTTTCCTACGTGTCTTGTGATACCCATCTCTGCATCTTTGTTCACCCTGTCCCTTCTTAAAATACCCTTTTCACTTCATGTCTGCCTTTCAATCTCACTCATTCTTTACACCACACCTCAAATGCTGCCTACTGTATGGGACATCCCTGGTCCCCACCCAAACTTGCTGTTACCCTAATTTTACTTCTTTCCTGCTCATTCTGCTTCTGGGCTTTGTGCTTCCTAGAGCTTCATATTATTGCTACAGCATTAATTACACTTTTCCTTTGTTAACAAGTGTTTGGAAAGTAATAGTAAATAGTGCTTAAGGGCCCGTAATATAGACTTTGAGCCAAACTAGACCTGAACTAAAACCCTCTTAGGCAAGTCACTTAATTTTTCTGAATTTCAGCTTCTTTATGTGTAAACTGAAGAAAATTTAACCAAATGTGCATGCATTGGCAGGGGAGAATATGAGAATGAGAATGTGCAGTAAAGGCTCCAATAAGAGGTAGCTATCATTACCACAATTATTCAGATCATCTTCCCAGCTAGTTCATCAGCAGTACCTTGCAACATCTCACCCTCCATAGCATTTTCTGAATTGAATGGAAGCAGCCCAAATTGATGACATCTGCTGCCTGGATCTCACTGAGCTATTAGTTTTTCAACATCTGTTTTGAATTTCAGGAAGAAATGTCCATTTTTAGGCAACATCAACATTTTCTTGTGGCATTTCAGTATTTCTTGGTCCTGAAATGATTATAACTTGTGCTTGATTGAATCCAAGTCAGCAGAGCCATGGAGAACAGCCCAGACCATGAGCATATCTACTTTATATAGGCCTATGAGAGTGTAGCCCTCTGCACAAAGAAACTGAACACCAAGGAACATTATGTCAGTTTTTAATGACATTGCCCTTTGCTCAGATGATCAAATTGTGGCAGTAATGGAGCTTGGGAAGCTCTTCACTATCCATAATACTGCAAGACAAGGAAAGCACAGAGACTGTAGTTTTCTCTGATGTTCTGAGTTTCTGGTAACTACAAAGGTTACACTCAGGATGTGTTTATAATGACAATTATTGACTATTTTTTCTAGACTATCTATTTCCTAATAAAACCCAAAAGAAGAAACAGCCAACATTTTCTCTGAGAGTTTCCAAATTATTTCCTATGGAAAGTAGAAATTTCTAAATCACCGTGCTTCATGAATCCCGAGTCTCTGTTTCAGCACCAAGGACAGAGCATCACTGGGCTTAATGCCCATTCATCCTCTTTAATCAAGAAAATTTTAAATGTTTTAAAATTTCTGCTCAGATTTTATGCAATAATCTAGTATATTGGTTTTCTGAACGTTAGTTACGTGTCAAACATTGTGTGATGTAGAAAGACTCACTAGCCAAGTACAGCTCTCAAGGTAGAACTGAGACAGGAGATGTGTTAAGAAAGGCAGGTTAATAAATATTAGAACAGTATATGACAAGTACTATTACAGAGTTATGTACAAGTCATGTGGGAGCCTGGAGAGGGAATAATCAACTTTAACTGATAAAAGAAGACTTTACAAAGGAGTTGACATTTAAGCTGGGTACCAAGAATTGAGTGAAGTTTACAGTATAGAGAAAAGACTCCAAGAATGAATGAGTAAATAATAGTGTATTCAGGGATTTCTGGAAATGTGGTTTTATGTATTTGAAAGTGGGATGAGTGGAAGGTAAAAGTAAGAGATAAAGAATAGGCTAAGGCAGGTCACCACATACTTGTATGCCAAGCTAAGGGAGTTAAGCTTTATCCTGGGAAAATTGAGAGTCACTGAAGTGTGTTGAACAAGAACATGATATGATCACATTTGTGTTTTAGAAAGATAGTTCATGCAGCAGGAGAGAGACTATACTGAAAAAAAGAAGAGGGCAGAAATGCAGATAAGGGTGACATTTTTCCATATAGTCTTGGGAATGAGGGATTGCTCCATCATAACCAAGGTTAGACAGAGAGAATTTACTTGGCCCAGATCCCAATATTTCATATGTGGATTATGTCTCTCCAGATTCTTCCAAGAAGATAAAGGATGTCTTGGCTGAGTTTAATGAGGGTGGGAGCCTCAAACAATATGATCCGCATGAGGTAAGAATGTTTGCATTTCAAGCTTTTAGCCCTAGTTTCCAACCCTTCTATAATTTGTTCCCCTCTTAGAAGTTTAGCTCATCTTGAAGGACTTGCTTATCAACATACTTTCTCCTAAATCTCAAGTGAGGTATTGGTGCTCCCTGGAATTATGTTTGCCAAGTTTAGTCACCATCTCACTGACCTAGAAGACTACCTTATACCTTCTTCTCTCTCTTCAAATCTTTCTGCCTTCCTGTCTTCATTCTCAGTTATCAACCATGCTTTCTACTTCACTGAAAAAATAGAAATAATCAGAAGAGATCTTCTATGAGATCCTCACCCACCTGTAACTAGGGATGTTTCTCCTGTTTTCTCCTGTAACTAGGGATGAACTCTCCATGTTCCTAGTTAAGTTCCACCCCTCTATGTATATACTCATTGCTTTCTCTGTTTGTGTATCTCCTTCACATTGGCTTTCCCCTATTTGTTGGGTTTTTCCCATCAACATAAAAACTGACTGTTATTTGTCCAATGTTAAAAATATTCTTCTGACTCCAGTTCTCTCTCCAGTTACCTCATTTCTTTCCTGTCCTTTATAGAAAACTGCTCAAAGATTTTTCTATAGTCACTTACTCCAATTTCTCTTCTTCCCACTTTTTGAAATCCCTTCAATCAGAGCATAACCCCCACTCCTCCACTAAAACCACTACTGAAGATAGTGAAGGATCTCCATGTGGCCAAAACTCAATAGTCATTTTATTCAACAGCATTAGACACAGTTGATCACATCCTCCTCCACTTTCTTCACTTGGATTTTAGGACACTACACTCTTTGTGGTTTTCCTTTTAACCCCTGGACTTAGCATTTCCACTTAACAATCAAAAGAGTATCTCAGACTAAAATGAGCTAAACTGAGCCTGTTGATATTCCCCTGTAAAGCCGATTTTTCCAACAATTTTCCCCATTTCAGTAAATAACCCCATTCTTCAAGCTCTTCAGTTTAAAACTATAGAGTCATCATTGACTTTTCCTCTCAATCCAACATCCAGTTCATCAGCAAACCCTAACTTAGGCCTTCAAAATATATCCAAAATCGAGTCACATCTCACCACTTACCTTTTGCCCAGATTATTATAACAGTCACCTAACTAGGCTCCCTGTTTCTGGTCTGGACCTTTAAAGTCTATTCTTTGCACACATCTTGAGCAGTCTGTTAAAACTTAAGTCAGATCATCTCACTGCTCTGACCCTCATGGTCCCCCCCCCCCCCCCCCCCCCCCCGCCTCGACTCAGAGTTAAAATCAAAGTCATTACCATCTAACCTTATCTCTTGCTACTCTCCTCATTCATTTACAGCCCACATTAGCCTCTTTGATGCTGTCAAATAAGCCAAGGTTGCTCTAACCTCAGTACCTTTGTGTTTGCCTTTTCCTTTTCCTGGAATGTTTCTCCCTCAGTATCCACAGGGTGAAAGGTGAAATAATATTTCACCTTTTGGAGCCTCAGTTTCCTTATCTCTGAACTGAAGATAACAACAACCAAAGACGTTGAAGTTTACAGATGAGTAGATTGAATGGGATACTTTTTGCAAAATGTCTAACACTTTATGGGACACTTAAAAAATGGTACCTACTATTATTTCCTTTCTGGTTCCTTTCCCCAGAATGTTTTAAACTCAACTTCCTTTTCCCTGTTCCTGGGTCCTTCTATGAGGGCTAATTGCTGAAAAATGACTGATGAACAGGAGAAACTTGAGATGATGCTGGTCACTTGTTTATTTGTATTGTCATCCTTTCAACAAATCTTGAGTCAGCCCCTTCTCTGCTGGACACTGGCAGTGAATCAACAAAGTACAAGTCCTCAAGGTACACCTGAGTGGGGGCTTTGGATAAAATGCTCCAATCATTAGGAGAATGAAGCAAGAGGAAGGTTGCCAGTACAGGACCCAGACTGAGAATGAACCCTTTCAAAGAACATTCCTGAGGAGAAGCCATGCAGAGAAGATGGCGGAGCCAGCAAAGAACTTCTTGCCCCTCCCACTACCCCATCCAAAACACCGGAACAAAGAAGGGTGGGGGATGCTAATGAGCCCGTCAGCCTTGAGGCTGAAGAGTGGGAGGGCAACAATGTGGTCAGGGCCACTGAGGGTGTGAAGGCCATGGGGAGCTTTCAGAAGAAGAGAGCAGCTTGGCTGTGAGGAGTCTGCTGCCACCCCCGCCTCCATCATGCTGGCCCCCACTTTTTGAATGCCTGGCACTGTGGTGTCCCAGGGAAGCTCTGCCGCTCTGATTTTATTCTCTCTCACAGTGCAGCTGGCTTCTAGTAGGTGTAATGTCCCGGCACGGGGTTGGGGAAACAAAAAGAATTTAATTTCTCTAGAGCTTGATGGCTTACTGCTGCTAAAATGTCTCAAGGAGGAATGAGTCAGTTGTGGGAAGGGGCAGATGGCTACAGAAGCAAGGCGAGGAATAAAAGCTTGCAGAGTGAGGGGCACCTGGCAGGCTCAGTTGGTTAAGCATCGGACTCTTGATTTCAGCTTGGGTCATGATCTCACAGTTTGTGGGATCGAGCCCCTTTGTCGGCTCAGAGGCTGCTTGGGATTCTCTCTCTCCCTCTTTCTCTGCCCCTCCCCTGCTCTCTCTCTCTCTCTCAAAATAAATAAACATTTTTTTTTAAAGTTTGCAGAGTGGAGCACTGCATCTGGCCATAACAACAATGCCCTTACCCATCAGCCCACCTGGCAGAAGACAGCCAGAAAGTGGACAAGAACACAGTGGAACAGAAGAGGGAAGGTGGCTTTGGTGGCCCTATGATCTTAGACTAAGAGATAAGTAAACATAAAGCCCAGCTCAGTCACTTGCTTTATGACTTTGAGCAAGTTATTTATGTTTTCAGAATCTTTTTCATCCACCAAATGGCAGTAATAGTCCCACCTCACACTGTTGTTGTAAGACTGAAGAACATGTACATAAACTGCCCAATGCACAGTAAGCTGTCCATATAGTTCCCTCCCTTCTTAACCTGTATAAGAATTAGCACTTTAAACAGATTGCAGAAACAGCCATTGTCCAGCTGTTTCCTATGTGGAAGTTGCAGTTTCTGGGGTAAAAAACAGGCCTGTGCCATGGCAGTGGCTAGCATGTTACTCCAGAGCTCAGAGAATTGCTAATATGCCTCATAGTATTTGTTTATCTGGTTTTGCCATAGTAAACTACTTTGTACCTATCACACATTCAGAGCAGCTACTCTGAGCCTGGCTTGTGCTTATAAAGAACTTACTCTGTCACAACCCAGATATAACTTGGAGAGTGGCACACAGTCACATTTCTTTGCCTACTGTACTTGAGGTTCCTGGAGAGAGTGGCAGGGAGCCATATGTTAACCCTGGGACCCAGAACAGATATGGTAAAGAGAGCACTAGACTAGGAGTCATAAGATTGGGCTTCTGGTTTTCCTCTGCTGCTAGGTGGCTGGGGCAAGTCACTGAACTTTCAGAGCATCAGTGACATGAGGAGATCTAGGCTATTCTGATATGAATGACCTTTGTTTCTGGGCTTATTCTGTGCCATCCTGTTGCTCAGAATATGGTCATGAATGGTTGGACATTGTTTTCTAAATTATCATAAGTTTGTCAGTTCTTTTCCTATGGCAGTCACCACTATTGATCCTCTATTGGAATTATTTTAATACCTGAGTCTCTTGAAGGTATAGACCCATGTGTATTTCTTAGATATGTCCCCTAAGGTGTTTCTTGTACCGAGGAGGCTCAGTACATATATACTGACTGAATCAAACCCACAATAATCGATGACAGCCAAGTGTGCCAGTGAAAAACCCAATATGCACTACAATACCTATCAGGAAACACTATTATAGGTGGTGTGGAAGATACTTAGATGAAATAAGATATTTCACTACCTTCCTAGAGCTCTAGATCTAATTGAGGAACTAAGAGTACATATGTCACAAACAACTATATATTAATAGAAAGCAGCAGATAGGAACTGAAGTGGAAAAGTGCATAAATTCAGGTACAGGAAATCTTACTAGGCTTCCCGAAAGAGGCCACATATGGATTGGACCTTAAAGGATAACTAGAATTTTAACAGGTAGAGAAGGAAGCAGTTTATGTGGTATGCATGGAGGCTTGATCAGGAAAGAACATGGAGATCAGCACGGATAGAATGTGGAGGTACACATAGGGAATTATAGGAGAACAGACCAGAATGATCTCAGTACTTGAAGTAGCTACAAATTTAGGTTGGAGTGGGATTATGGGAGGGTTATGAATCCCAGAGGACTCAAGGAGTACACAGGATGATCTATTGGAATGTGGGAACACTACAAATCAGACCTTCTATTTATATAAATTTTTATCGCATCTAACTTCTGTTTTCTAATTTATTCTCTTGTGTATATTTTATAATGTATTAGAGGAACACAATAGCACATGTATATAATTTATAAGTAAAGATAAATGGGAATGCATGCTTAAATGTTATAGAAGGGAACATGATTTTAAAACTGATCTCACCCCTCCTGTGGGCAATTAGAAGCCATGGAAAGTTTTAGAGCAGAGAAGCAATCTGATAAGAATTGTGCTTTAAGAAGATCAGTCTGGCAAGGATGGATGAGAAGAGATGACTGACAAATGGGGTAGAGGCAAGGAAGCCTTTGAGAAGTGCTATAGTGGACCAGGTAGGATGCAAGAAACAGAAGTCTAAAATGAGGAACATTGGGCCTTCAATGGCCTTCTGGTCAGGGTGGTAGCAGATGGACAGTGGACACACAGGAAAGACTGAATGTGACAGACATTACAAAAGAACAAGGAACAGAAGGAAGGGACAAGACCTAATCTCAGATGACTGGAGGTTCAAAGCTGAGCCTAGAATATTGGGAGAATAATGGTGTCATTGACATTAACAGAAACAGCAAGGATAGGAAGAGGAGCTAGTTCAGGGAGGAGGATAATAAAAGTTTAGAAATTGAGACCTTTTAGTTCATTTTCCCCAATTTGCCGTCAAAGAAACTGAGGTTCACAAGCAGAGGAAATGTGGTAGAGCTGAGACCAGTCATGGGGTCTCCTAAATCTCACACTGATCTTGTTTGATGATCTTTCAGCTTTGGTTTTTTAAGAGCATCATGTTAGGCTTTGTTTAGCTAAACTGTCTTTTCCAGACATAGTATAGTATAGTCTTTTTTCCAGAACTATTTTATGCTGATAGTTCTCCGTTTGATGCTAACCAAAAAAGATTAACAGGATACTTTGGAGCTCAAAACTACAGTTGACCCTTGAGTAACATGGGGGTTAGGGTCACTGACCCCCAGCACAGTTGAAAATCCATGTATAACTTTCGACTCCCCGAAAGCTTAACTGCAAATAGCCTCCTGTTGACTGGAAGCCCCACTTTTAACATAAACAGTAGATTAACACACATTTTCTATGTTATTTGTATTATATATACTGTACTGTATTCTACAATAAAGGAAACTAGAGAACACAGAAAGTCATTAAGGAAATCATAAGCAAGAGAAAAGACATTTATAGTATTGTTCTGTATTAATTGAAACAATTCTACATGTAAGTGGCCTTGCACAGTTCAAACCTGTGTTGTTCAAGGGTCAACTGGATGTTGTAAACAGTACTTGTCGATTAAAATCGTGTGACGGTAAAGACAGTGCAAAGAGACCCTTTTAAAATAAGGACAGTAACATCAGCAATTAGTCAAAGTAGAGAATGAAGAGAACCAAAATAGCACAACACCACAGAAAACAGAAGGTTTCAAGAAAAGAGGATGGAATGCTACAGAGAAGCCGAAGACAAGCAAGTCTGAAAAGAGACAACTGAACCTATGACCTTCAGGACAGTGGGCTCAGAGGTGATGGGCCAGAAGCCAGAGCACATGGGACTAAGGAGGTGACAAGGTTGGTGTGGTCTGGCTGGAGGATGCTGAAGGGGAAGGGAAGGACAGGCTAGAAACGCCAGTAACATTTCTTTGGAGCAGCGCCCTTGAACACGCTTGCAGGTAGAGAAACAGATGCTGGGAGATGCCTTCAGATGCAGAGAGGGTGGAATCAAGGGTCAGAGTGGGTGGGTTCCACTTGGAAAGTAGGAGGAAAGGATTATGCCATCAGAGACTGGTGAAAAAGAGGAAGATGTGTGAGGAAGAGACATTCTGAGGTGACGAGGCTGTGGAGATGGAGAAGGACAGAAAAAGTATCAAAGAGAGACACAGAGACTCAGGGGCAGAAAAGACAAGAGAGATAGAGACTGATTGGTGGTTGTCAGAAAAACGTGAGTCCACCATTTGGTTCGAGATCCCATAACCTCCTAAGAGTCTAAGTTATCCTCTCTGTTCAACCAAATCAGGCTTCCTCCACTCTGCAAAAGAGACGTATAGGACAACCCCACCTGGGGCAGGTAGAAAATGCTATGTGAGCACCCTGCCATTGGGACCAGGGCATCGCTTGTTTTTAGGGCCAAAACTTTGTATCCCAAAACTGATTGTAAAAATTCAAACTGGCTTGTGGTTCTGGAAAGGCTCCCAGATTTTCTAGAAGAGACAAGGGGTTAAATGCTATCAACATTTTGGAAGGAGAACAAAATAGGCTCCCAGAAAGGGATTTTATTCTCATGGCTGTTGTTATTTACAAAAGCCTGCACAGCACATCTTCGAGTAGAGCTTCCTCAGTGATTTCCAGGGCATCTGCCGATTCGATGAAGAATCTGATGCCATCAGAGCACGAGCCAGTGATGACTCACTGCAAACTGTCTTTGTTGAGTGTTTGCTGAGTACAGCAGCCCTTTCTGGCATGGCTGCTCCAAGCCTGGGACCATAAGCCAGGCAGTAGTGGGAGAGAGCTTCTAGTTTTTGGCACGTTTCTTGATTCTACCTTCTGTCCTTGGCTTTCTGCTCTTCTCCTAGTGCCTAAAACCTTCACAAGGACATGTTTAGAGAGCAGCTGAGCCAGACACATACCCTCTCCTGTTATCTTGAGGTTCCTCCAGTGAAGGTCAGTTATAAAAGTAATGAAGGATTGAGCCTGTCTTTTCCTATTTTCTGAGACCCAAATACTCAGGAATCCCATCCCTCATAACACAAGCAGAAATGGAGACACTGCAGAAGACCCATCTTTCTACCATGTTTTCAGCTACATCCTTCTTCATCTTAACTAGGATCCAGGGCACTGACCAAGTCCTGCTCATTAGAGAGCAGTCTGGTTGTGGGCAGAACCCTCCATGCCCAGTGCTTGCTGCCCATCACCCCCTTTCTAACTAGTTTTAGACACGCCTTGTTATAGAAGCCTCCTGTGAGTACCAACATGCAACCATCAGTGTTTTCTCTTTCTTGTAGCCAGTTGCCTGCTCCCCGTGCCTGTCATTCTCCGCCACCTCCTGGCCTTTTCATTCCAGCATTCACCCAACACCACACTTCTTTCTGCTCTGCTTTCATTTCTCTCACCTGCCAGCCCCCCAGTTTCTCTTCTCTCCTTTTTCTCTGTCCCTTTGCTTCTCGGCACTGACTTTTCCCTCTTTGTTCTTCCTCAGCCAATTAGCTATGATGTCTTCAAGCTGTTCATGAGGGCATACCTGGAGGTGGACCTTCCTCAGCCACTGAGCACGCACCTCTTCCTGGCCTTCAGCCAGAAGCCCAGACAGGAGACCCCTGACCACCCAACGGAGGGGGCCGGCAATGAGGCCAGTGGCCCAGGTACACAGACCAACATTCCCCAAGATGGAAGGGAGATGTTGCACCTGTAATGCGCTTGCCACAGCCCCAGGCGGCACTCTTGGGGGTCCCCTGTGCAGAGTAACTTCCTTACAGGGTGGAAATGAGAGCTAGGGGACCAGGACTCCTTTCCCCATAGGGAAACCATGTCTGATGGCTCTCAAAGGAATAAAGAGGAGCAGAATTCCTGCACCCAGGCTCAGAAGGAAGGTTGGGCAGGAGGGAAGAGGAGGCATAAAATAATATGTGGCAGGGGGTAGAGAGCCTTCTGCAAAGTCTGCGAGAAGCATTTAGATGGAACACATTCAGCTCAAGTACCCAGGCTGGAAGAGCCCAGGCGTGTCAGAGGCCAGAGGAAGGTAAGTTGTGGTCACTATTTTCTTGGAGTTTGGGCTATAATGAGGGAGACACAGTCAACCCCAGCCAATCACTATGAACCTAGCTGATACTCAGAGACACACAAGTCAAGTGATGCAGGCCCCGTGAGAAGGCTCCCTACCTGCCTCTCTAAGAAGCTGGAGAAAGTAAGCTGGTTCTTAAATCTTCTTTTTACTCCCCAGATGCCAACATACAGACTGTGGATAATGGTGCCAAAGCAGATGAGGCCTGTGCCCCTGATACAGGTAAGTCTCTCTAATATAAGATTTGCGGTGTTGAAGGGGAGTGGGGAATGCCTCATTCTTAGGAGGAGGGGGAAATCTAACGAGCAGTAAGTCTCCATGTCATTGTGTGTCCTTTGAGCAGATCTTTGGGGCCTCCACCACTCAAATGTGCTGGGATTCTGAGGCTTGATGGGGGTCCTTCCTTCACATGCCCTGAAACAGGGCAGCTCATTAGATATTTACTTCTGATGGGTCTTCCTGGCCAGAAATGGGAGCCTTCTCAGGAGAAAGGGTACAATGAGGGTGTGTGTGTGTGTGTGTGTGTGTGTGTGTGTGTGTGTGAGTGACAGAGAGGCAGAGCATATATATAAAGAGGTGGCTGTAGGGCTGAGGTACAGATGACTGTACCAGTGGATGGTGGAAGGTGGGTAAGAACGTGCCCAGAGGTACAAAACTGTATCAAGCTGTACTATAAGAAATGATAAAGAACATCTTTTTAGTAGAATTATTCCATATAGGAACCTGGGTTCACACATGAGAATGAAGAGCACTGAAACTGGTAACCACATGGGTAAATATAAAGAATATTTTTCTTACTAGTTAAATTTCCTTAAAAGATAATTCACTATTGAAGCAAAAACTAAAGTGACATTGTGTTGTGCAGTTTATAATTTAACTTCCAGAGAAAACAAACGTATGACCATAGCACAAAGACCTGGAGGGGAGAATTGGAGGTATTTGTGCGCACCGGTTTAAGTAAGTCAGAAGGAGGAACAAGGGGAAGCCGGCTAAAATTATTTTGATCTATTTCCCAGGGATGTGGTAGGATGAGAGAATTTCAAGCAGATATTAGATGTAGTTCTCATCTTTTTTCCAGTCATGGCAAAAAGGACAACTAGAAGGATTAAGAATTTTTCAGTGTGTAACCGAAGGACTGGTGAGATCAAAAATTTACTCTGGATGAAAAGCAGAACATGGGTTGGGAAAAGAGAGTTGCCGTTGGACCATAAGCTCAGCAAATTCCAGTCTTCTCCTAGAGCTTCACAAAGCCAGGATGACAAGCATCGGTGCCTTCCCGAGGCCTTCAGGGACAGCATCAGGGCAAGACTACCAAGTATGGCTCACCCACCCTCCCTTCCCAGCATCTCACCCAGCCACACTAGGTTCATGGCCCATTCCCAGCATCTCACCTAGCCACGCTAGGTTCATGGCCCCTAAGTAAAATGGATTTAAGTTAGAAATAAGTCTTAAATCTTATGTAGAATAGCAGGGGCATGGTATGATATAGATTATTCTCATGATAGGAAGAGAAGGGTGAAACTGAAAATCTTGGGATTCTAAACTCTGAGCAAGAAAAACAACCATGAAAAGCATTTGGACCCAAATCTTTACCCAGAGGCTTTCTTAGTCCAAGTATCTGAACTTCAAGACGAACCTGAGAGAAATTATACTTCATTTCCTGAGATTCCAAATTGTCAGGACAGGATTTGTTTTAGTGGCTGAGGTTTCTGAGGAACAAAGAAAGGACGTTTTAGAGCTACTGTCATTATATGATATTTGAGAAAAGGTGATGATAATGGAATTTAACTGGCTTATTTGACCACCACCGTGTTTATTTGCAACATTTGTATCATTCAGGGTCTGAGAGCAACTTCCAGAGATTTCCTCCTGGAGAAATGATTTATGATGTACCACTTTCCTTATTTATGGAGACTATCCTGTGGTCAAATAATAAGGGGTAATAATCTGACTACTGGCCCAGGGAGGTATATAGCATTTTTTTATCTTCTTTAGTGACTTGAGATTTAAAATAGAAAATCCGTTTCCTATGGGACTGCTTTCTGTGGATGTCTTAATTAGATGCCCCTGTTCACGAGAAACAGGAATGTAGGGACAGACAGATACCACAGAGAGAAGCTTCTGCCAGTAAGGAAGAGCCAAGTTCTGCTCTCACCTTAGATCAGGCCATCTGTTGAAAATCCCAGCCTTTTCCTTTTGCCGGAGCAGAAGCCAGAGGAAACTAAATTCTCATTTGATATGGCCTATTTAGGCCTATCAGAGCGATATCCAAGCTCGGATCTAGAACAACCCACTTTGAGTTATTCATTTCCAAAGCCAGGTGGATGAATGGTTGGGTCTGTAAACACAGCAGAGAGGGTCTTTTACTGAGTCCAGACATGGGCTCAGAGCCTTAAGCAAACTGTCATTGTCAGGATGTCAGCTGGGAAAGCCTAAATGCACCTTTCCATGAATGGCCAGAACTAAATGGGATCAACAGTGTGAACTTTAGTCTCCTGGTTTTTAGTTCCTCAGGCTCCTGAGATGTTTCAGCAACTTAGAATATTGGACTTCCAAGGAAAGTCCTTCGATTTTTTTTCTTAGTTTTTCCCAATTATAAAAGTAACACATTCACATTATAAAAAAAATTGAAGAGTACAAAAAACAGAAGGAAATAACAAAATCACCCATAATTTACCAGTGCAATTACACACAAGCATGCACACACTTGTATTTTTTTCTATAATTTTTTACAAAATTGGAATCAGACTATAGATAGATAGGCAGATAGATAGACATAGACATAGACATAGTTATAGATATACTTTTGGATCCAGCTTTGTTTTTCACTTACCATTATACTCACAAACTTTTTTTTTTATCATTCAAGACTTTTAGTATATACCAATTTTAATATAAGTCCCTCTTTCAACAGATGCAAATCTGAGGTTGGATGTGGGGAGTAAGCCCACTTGTGCAAGGTCACACACCATTAGCACAAACCCAGAGTGAGAAACCTAGCCCTCTGCCTCTACCTTGGTGTTCTTTCCACTATGCCCAACTGGAAGGCAAAAAGGAATACAGAGATTAAGAGAAAAGGTGGAACAAGTCAAGTCTGCCTAGGAACCTCAAGCAACAGGGATTATGACATGGCACCAAACAGAACCTATGTAATCTGGAAGGGTGTTAGTCTTTTACTACTGATGGTCCCTGAGGGATGTACTTAGATGGCTGTGGGCTAGGGCTATTTCATATAAGGCAGCTCGAGGAGGAAAAACATGAGTAGGATTATGTGCCCCTCAGTCATTTTGCTTCCCAGCATTTCCATGACTGGGAAGAACAGTACACTTCAGTGTAGACTAGAACAATGGTTCAACCAATCACAGTTCTGGCAACCCAAGGATCTTTGTAAAAGGCTGTAGTAATGTTTCAAAACAGCTTTGGTGAGGTATAATTGGCCTAAAATGAACTGCACATGTTTCAAGTGTATAATCAGTAAGCTTTTACATATGTATACACCTATAAAAGCAGTACCACATCAGTATAATGAAGATACTCATCATCCCCAAAAGTTCCCTTTCTCCCACCCTCCCTAGCCACCCACGCCTATATCCATACAATCACTGATATGCTTGCTGTCACTATAGATTAGACTGCATTTTCTATATTTTATATACGTAGAATCATACAGTATGTACACTTTCTGGTGTGGCTTCTTTCACTCAGCATAAAAACTTTAAAATGTATCCAGTTGTTGTGTGTATCAATAATTAACCTATTTTCAATGCTGATTAGTATTCTAGGAAATAGGTAGATATTCCACAATTTATTTATCCATTCACGTATTGTTGGATATTTGGGTTGATTCCGGTTTGAGGCTATTCCATATAAAATATGAATGTTCTTGTACAAATCTTTGTATGGACAGTTTTCATTCCTCTTAGGGAAAGATCTAGGAGTGGAATTTGAAGGATGTTCTCGTGATAATTTGACTTCTGCATTATGAATTGACTCTCTTTATTCCTAATACTCTTTGCTTTAAAATTTACTTTATTAGGTGGCTTAGTCGGTTGGGCGTCCGACTTTCGCCTAGGTCATGATCTCGCAGTTCGTGGGTTCGAGCCCTGCATCGGGCTCTGTGCTGACTGCCAGCTCAGAGCCTGGAGCCTGTTTCAGTCTGTGACTCCCTCTCTTCTGACCCTCTCCTGCTCATGCTGTCTCTCTCTCTCTCTCCTAGAAATAAATAAAACATTAAAAATAAAATAAAATAAAATTTACTTTATTATAATTTGTTATGCCATAATTAATGTAGCAACTCTAGTTGACTAGAGTTACAAGGATATTTTAATGTATTTGTGTCTTTATACTTAAAATTTTCTTAATGTTTATTAATTTTTGAGAGAGACAGAGAGTGAATGGGGGAGAGGCAGAGAGAGAGAGGGAGACAACAGAATCCAAAGCAGGCTCCAGGCTCTGAATTGTCAGCACAGTGCCTGACATTAGGCTTAGACTCACAAGCCATGAGATCATGACCTGAGCCAAAGTCGATGCTTTACCAGCTGAGCCACCCAGGTTCCCCTCTGTTTATATTTAAATTGACTTTTTTATTGGAAGCATGTAGTTGGATCTTGTTGTTGTTGTTTATCTAATCTGACAATCTCTGCCTTTTAGTTAGAGTTTTAGAATGTTTACACTTACTGTGATAATTAATATGGTTAGGTTTAAAGGTACCATCTTGCTATTTCTTTTCTTTCACATCTGTCCTTTCTTCCCCTTTTGTTCTTTTTCTGCCTTCTTTTAATTAATTGAATTATTTATGATTTCATTTTATCTCCTTTTTTATCTTATTAGCTATAATTTTGTTATATTATTTTAGTGACTGTTTTAACTATCACAGTCTACATTCAAGTAATATTATTCCACTTCACATACACTGTAAGAAATTAACTGCGATATAACTCCATTTCTTATCTAGACCTTTGTGCTATTATAGTCATACATTTTACTTCTACATATGTTAAATTAAAAACTACACAACATACTGTTATTATTTTTGTTTTAATAGTGAATTATCTTTTAAGGAGATTTAACTAATAAGAAACATATATTTTTTATATTTACCCATGTGGTTACCAGTTTCAGTGCATAAATCTAAATTTCCATATGGTATAATTCTACAAAAAAGATGTTCTTTACCGCTTCTTGTAGTGCAGCTCTATACAGTTTTGTACATATGAAAAAATCTTTATTTTGCCTTCTTTCTTCTAAAGATATTTCACTGACTAAAGAATTTTAGGCTGACAGATATTTTTTCCTTTAGTATTTTAAAGATGTAGTTCTACTGACTTTCTGCTCACTTTCTTTCCAATGAGAAAATTACTACCATGCTTATCTTTGTTTCTCTCTACATAAGGTGTCTTTTTTCCTCTGGCTTCCTTTATGATTTTTTTTTTTTTATCACTTATCTTAATCCATTTGATTATTAAGGTTTTGGTGTAGCTTTGGGGTTTTTTTTTTTTGTTGTTGTTGTTGTTTTTAAAGTAGGTTTTATGCTCACACAGAGCCCAACAAGGGGCTTGGACTCATGACCATGAGATCAAGACCTAAACTGAGATCAAGAGTTGGACATTTAGCCAACTGGGCCATCCAGGAGCCCAACCTTGATGTAGTTTTATTTTTATTTCTTGTGTTTGGGATTCATTGAAAATCTTGGATTTGAGGTTCTGTTGTTTTTATCAAGCACCAACAAATTTGGAAAAAATTCAGCCATTATTTCTTCAATTTTTTTCTACTTCTTTCTTTCCTCTTTAGGTATTTCAACTACATATTTATTTGACTACTTGAAGTTGTCCCACAGCCCACAGATATGATACTCTTTCTTTTTTTTTTAGTCTTTTTGAATAGTTTCTTTTGCTGTGCTTCAAACTGACTAATCTTTTCTTCTGCAATGTCTAATCCGCTGTAAATCCTATTCAGTGCATGTTTTCAATTCACACATCATATCTAGACACTTGATGTAGGCAGGCATTATTAAATATCTTTTATATCCCTACTTAAAATGTACTATGTTGGGGGCCTGGGTGACTCAGTCGGTTAAGTGTCCGACTTCGGCTCAGGTCATGATCTCATGGTTCGTGGGTTTGAGCCCCACGTCGGGTTCTGTGCTAACAGCTAGCTCAGAGCCTGTAGCCTGTTTCAAATTCTGTATCTTTCTCTCTGACCCTCCCTGCTTATGCTGTCTGTCTGTCTCTCTCAGAAATAAATAAAAGCATTAAAAAAAATTTTTTTTTAAATATACTATCTTTCCTCTAGCCTCTTGGACATGTGATTGTGATAATTATTTTAAAGCTTTTGTCTGTTATATCATCTGTGTCATTTCTCGGTTATTTCAGTTGTTTTTTCTCATTATTATTGTTTATATTTTCTTGCTTCTTTGCATACCTGTAAGTTTTTTATTAAATGCCAGCCATTGAAATTTTACATCATTGGGTATTGGATATTTTCATAGTCCTTTAAAAATTCTTGAGCTTTGTTTTGGGGCACAGTTACTTAGAAATAGTTTGACCTCAGGGCGCCTGGGTGGCTCAGTCAGTTAATCATCCGATTTTGGCTCAGGTCATGATCTCATGGTTTGTGGGTTCGAGCCCCACGTTGGGCTCTGTGCTCCCAGCTAGCTCAGAGCCTGGAACCTGTTTCAGATTCTGTGTCTCCCTTTCTCTCTGACTCTCCCCTGTTCATGCTGTCTCTCTCTCTCTCTGTCTCTCTCTCTCTCAGAAATAAATAAAACATAAAAAAAAAAATTTTTTTAATTAAAAAAGAAAAGAAATAGTTTGACTTTTTTGGGTCAAACTTTTAAAGGTTTGTTAGCCAGGACCAGAAAGGCATGTGCTAGTTTCATCCGACAATCAAAGCAAAACTCATCTGTGTACTCTACCCAATGATTCATGAGTTACAGCGGTTTTCTACCTTGGTTGGTGAGAATAGACACTATTCCTGGCTCTCTGTGCATCGCAGCGACTGTTCCCTCTAATACTGATTCACTCCCCAGCCTCTGGTATTCTCATACATCTGTACTAATTGTTATTCAGCTGAAAAATGGAACAGAACTCTCCACTGAATATTCACAGGAGACCCTTTGTAGATCTGTGGAGTTCTCTCTATGCAGCTTCCTCCTCTGTGAACTCTAGCCACCTTGGGCTCCCCAGGCTCCTGTGGGATCACCATTTGGCGCTACCACATTCAGTGTCCATTGTTTCATATCTTTTGTCTAGTATTTTATTTGTTTCAGTAGAAAGGTAAATCTGGTCTTGTTATCCCAATTTAGTCAGAATAGAAGTCATTATAATAGTGTTTTCATGAATGGATAATCTGAGGATGTAACAGTAACTTGAGGTATAATGGGCTCCCTGGTGCAAAGGATTTCTCACATTTGTCTTATATATTACTATGGTTTTTCATAACTTTTCCTCCAGTGCTGATTTTAATACTTGTGTTGCATATGTAATTTAATTGCAGTTTCCCCCATCTCACTATCCTTATTTTTATCTCATCCTAATGTATTTTTATCCTAACTTGCTCACCCCTGAGGCTTTCTGCTCCTATTTAACATATCTTCTTGCAGCCTCCTGAGGGTCTTGTCGAGTAGGAAATTATTCCCAAAGATCTGGTTTTCCGAGACTTCAGGATGGAGCTTCTTTTCCTTGTTTTACAGCTCTGTTTCATTGGCTCCATCTTGGTCTCTTCACAGGGCCCTTTGTGGCCAGCAGAGTGTGTCAGTGAGACTGGCCTCACTCCCTGTCCATCTGGATGGCATTTAACTCCCTTCTCAGACCCCGACCTAACCCCTAACCCCTGGGACGCTTTCATGCTGTGCAGCTCTACTGTTGGCCTTTGCTTGGCGCTTTGGTTTTCTGAATGAAAAGTGTACTGATAGCATTGCCTTTCAATCCTGGAAGCAGGTATTACTATCACGCTGTCTCTCCTTCTGTCTATACCTTCAGCACTCCATTACTTAGTGGTACAACACCTAAGTGGATTTTTCATTATTGGTCCTCCTTGTTCTTTTCCCTATGTTTTCTGTGGGTCGCACCCTCTTACCGGATATTAAGAGATCATTTCTGATGGGCATGAATCTAGGGAGGCTGGGGGAAGAGCGATATCCCTTAAAGTGCCTCAAGAAATATAATTCACACAGTAAAATATAACTGCCCAGTTTTCTCATTAGCAATAACCTCATATTTCTGAATTAAAAGACAAAGAAGAGAGACGATTTTCCAACCTGAAAGAAGGAAAACTCCAGAGGGAAAACTTACTCTATTCCTGTGGTATGATAAACCACTTTCTGCATTTTCTTAATCCAACTGATTAGGCTTGTAGCTAGTCAGAATTCTTCCCAGTGGCTGGAAATTTGTCTGTCGATTGTCGATCCCAGTTTTCACTTTTGAATATTCACCTTTTTCTTTATATTTAAATATATTTGAGAAGAAAAATTGTTAAAAGGTGTACTGGTAAATGACCAGTTGTCTGGATTTTGGAATCCCAGCCAGAATTAACTCTGCAAATTGAGTGTGTTCCCCCCAAATTAGTCTGAAGGACATTTACTTGTTGGCTATTGATATTACTAAAAATCACTGTCATCTTTTCTGAAAATTCACAGGGTATAGGTGAATTTCTTACAATGAGAGAGATTCTTTTTTTTTTTTTTAAATACTTTTATTAATTTCTAGGAGAGAGAGAGAGAGACAGCGTGAGCAGGGGAGGGTCAGAGAGAGAGGGAGTCACAGACTGAAACAGGCTCCAGGCTCTGAGCTGGCAGTCAGCACAGAGCCCGACGCGGGGCTCGAACCCACGAACCGCGAGATCATGACCTAAGCGAAAGTCGGATGCTTAACTGACTAAGCCACCCAGGCGCCCCTCAATGAGAGAGATTCTTAAAAGGGTCAGAACCGGGTCCATTCAGAGAGTATGAACGCTACAAACTGGATTTCTAGGGCCACTGATTTGATTATATTTAAATAACCAACACTTTCTCTACCAAGAAACTAATGGAGCAACAAAAGAAGCTTAATACTTACTAAACATTAAGTGCCCTTGGATGGTTTCCTTTTGCCTATCACAGAATCAAAAATCACCGAGAAGCAGGTGCCAGCGAAAGGTGAAGTGGCTGCACCCCCCCTGGGAAATCCTGTTGCTCCATCTCCAGGCTCAGAATCCCCCACAGTGTACCTGAAGGATGTCGTGTGTTACCTGTCCCTGCTGGAGACGGGGAGGCCTCAGGACAAGCTGGAATGTAAGTGTCCACCCTGTCAAGGGGCTTCAAGTTTTCCCTAGAGGAAGATCTAGTGCCTTGTCCTGCATTCTAAACATGTCGGAGCTTGATCTGGGATCCTGAGTGTTGGTGATGCCTGCTTGGGGAAGGTGGTTCTGTCCTGTCCCCAGCAGTGATCTGGACATTTCCCGGAACCCACGTTGGGACACAGTACCAGATGTATGGAGAGTGGGAAGTGCATCGGAGACCTTGGTATTGAGAACCAGGATTTGGAAAGGGGAGAGGTCTCTGCAAAGGGTCAAGCCTCCCGTTCTTGCTGGCAGAACTTCCTGAAAGCCTCCAACTGAGAGGCTGCCACCTTCTCTTACTTTTCAAGGGAGGATATTCAACATTTGTCTTCCTTTCCTATTTGGTGCCCAAACAACTCCTTAACTATGAGGAAATCTTTTTGTTTTTCCTTGAGAACTAATCCGCCTCCATCTCGTTAAAGCTTATTTTCATTTCTTCACCCACCCCTACCCCACATTTTTTGGCCTCTAGAGAAAAAGCGCTAGTTAGGTAAGGGAGTTGATCTTGGTTTCACAGTGCTCCTTAAAGTTGGTTTCAAGGAGAGAGTAATAGCTGGTGGCAGGAAGGAAAGCCCACAGCAGCTGAAACAGCCTGCAGGCTCTTAGTAAGACTCACTGCAGGGCGGGGCTCACTGGCCTCCATCCGCCTACAGGCAGACTTTTAAAAACAGGAGACATACGACCTTGTTAAAAAAGATATATTGTTTAGGCTCCTTTTGGGACCTTAGTAGACATTAAAGGGAAAAACATACACATCATAGCAGAAGTCAAAATTCTAGTTAATAATAAGACAAATCAACAAAACTTGAACATTAACAAGGAAGTATCTGGCAAAGGTTAACTCTCGCCCAAACCAAAGCGAAACAGTTCGCTGACCACCCATAGTTTTGAGATGTTAATAACTGCAAGTCTTCAGTGCAAATTTGGTGGCAAATATAGCAGATTTATGTTTCTTTTGACTAATATTTAAAGTGAAATGTCAAATTATTTCCAAGATTCAGCTGGATTTTTGAGTTTTAGGCATTATATTTGTCCATAATGACTAGAGAGGATGTAGAAGATGTTTTCATATTAGTGGCTCTCAGACTGAGCCTTGTAATGGCAATAAAAAGAAACTGCATTTTATTTTTTAATTTTAAAAATATATATATTAATTTTTGAGAGAGAGAGAGAGAATGAGAGAGAGAGAGAGAGAGAACACGCGCGCGCATGCGAGCATGAGCAGGGGAGGGGCAGAGAGAGAGGGAGACACAATTCGAAGCAGGCTCCAGGCTCTGACCTGTTAGCACAGAGCCCAGTGCAGGGCTGGAACTCCGGAACAGCAAGATCATGACATGCGCCGAAGTCAGACGCTTAACGGACTGAGGCACCCAAGTACCCCAAGAAACTGCATTTTAAAAAACTTTCTATTATAGAAAATTTCCAACATGGATAAAAGTATAAAGCACAATGAGCTTCCATGTACCCATCAGTCACCTTCAATAATTACTTACTTATAATAAATCATGTTTTATCTATTCGTCCCACACATTCCCTATGCCCCAGAACACGTCGATGCAAATTTCAGACATCATGTAACTTCACCTATAAATATTTCAGTATATATCTCAAAAATACAGCTTTTTCTTAAATATAACCCCAGCACCATCATCACATTGAAAGACAATGATTCTTTACTGTTGTCTGTTCAGAGAGAAAAGAGGCGGAGCTAGTATAAAAACAAAAGCACTTATTTAGGACCTCAGAATAGCAATTTGGGGAACACGGATTTGGGCACCAAGCCAAATAGTACCCCTCCCAGGGAACAGAAGTTGAGGGCTTTTAAAGACAAAAGGGAATGCTTGTATATATTGTTTACAGAGAATTTTGATTGGTGTTGATGGCAGAAAACTAATCTTGACCCAATATAATTGGTTACTAAGGCTGTCACTAAGTAAAGACCCTTAGCGTAGCAAGTTACAGATGCTAGAATTGAGTCCTTGGAATATTTGCAGTTTAGCCCAGTTCAGAGTTCAGGGCTCCACCCAGTGAGGATGTGCCTAAGGCCTATCTCCTTGATGACCTCCTGACCCCATTTTAAAACCCCTTGACAGAAGTCACTCAATTTCATTTCACCGTTTATATATCAAATACTGTCAGTGTTCACAGTTTCCCAATTATCTTATATAGTTTTAATTGTTTGAATTAAGATCCAGACTTGGTCCATACATTGCCATTGCTCATTGCTTCTTATGTTTCTTCTATTTTAATCTTCTGCATATTTTTTTTTTGTAATTTTTTGTTGCAGAAACTTGGTCATTTGGCTGGTTGAGATTTTAATCTTATTTGTTTTTTTCTTAATGAAACCAAATAAATTCAAATCTTCCCCTGACTTTAATGATTGAAAACAAGCTTTCCTTTTTAATAACCAAGCATGTATCTTTTTGGAAACTATAGCCTGAAATCCTACCTATCATCAATACATTAACAATTATAACTCGTTATTGAATACCATATATCTGCTAATCACTTTATATTTTAAAATTTTTTTCAATATTTATTTTTGAGAAACAGAGAGAGAAAAAGAAAGGGAGCATGAGCCGGAGAGGGTCAGAGAGGGAGACACAGAATCCAAAGAAGGCTCCAGGCTCTGAGCTGTTAGCACAGAGCCTGATGTGGGGCTCGAACCCACGAGTGGTGAGATCATGACCTGAGCCGAAGTCTGACGTTTAGCCAAGTGTGCCACCCAGGCACCCACCCCTCTGCTAACCACTGTAAATTTTTTTTGAATGTTTATTTAATTTTGAAGGGGGGGGAGAGGGAAGGAAGAAGAGAGAGGGGGAAGGGAAGGAGGGGCAGAGAGAGAAGGAGACACAGAATCAGAAGCAGGCTCCAAGCTGTCAGCACAGAGCCCGATGCGGGGATCGAACCCATAAACCACGAGATCATGACCTGGGCTAAAGTCTGACGCTTAACTGACTGGGCTACCCAGGCATCCCTCTGCTAATCACTCTAAATGTATTATCTCATTTTAACCTCATAATAACCCTAGAAGGTCAATGTGATTATTTTCATTTTACATGTCAGAAAGCACAGAAAATGTAAATGACTTGCCCAAGGCCATGCTGCTAAAAAGCTAAGTGCTTACACTTTATAGTTCTACTATCTGTGTCTAGTAGGACCAAGAGAACTCTGTGTTTAGAGTTGTCCAGGGCTAGGGTCTGGGAGCAACAGTCTGGGGAAGGTCTGTCCTTCCTTATGTCGTTCAGCCATCTGTTTGGCGAGTCAGCCTCATATGCTGAGTTTGTCTGACCAGGATGTTCTGAAGATTCATAGAGAATTGGAAGGCCATGATCCTACTTCTAAAGAATCCGTTCCCACCGGATCACACAACTAAAAAAAGACAAGGTGCAGGGATATCAAGACATATAAAAAGATGTGACAACACACAGGCAACTTAGCAGGAGTGTGGTGACCTTTGGGTACATGCTGAGTGGTCCAGAGTGGGGATGTGGGTGAAGGGGCAGTCGGGAGGCTCCACAGAAAGCAGACCTGATGAAGGGTTTCAAGAATTGGAGGAAAATGAACACATGCTCAGCTCTGCTCCCTACTCTGCTTACTTCTGAGATCATGGACAGGATCCTAGATGACCAAAATGCAGGCTCCCAGGTCTCAGAAATGGAAATTTTAGTCCTTTGCCCAAATTTCTCTCCCAGATCTTCCATATCCTGCATCACCTCCCTACAGCTAGAACATGATGGAGGATGTTTCTGAATAACATGTTGACGTTTTAGAAAAATAAATACAGTAGCTTCTGTAATGGTAATTCATGTAATAGTATTAATGAGAATTAAGTGAGTAGTAATGAGAAAGTGCATAGGACAGTACATCATCCTTATTAAATGTCATAATAAATGTTAATTAATGAAAGTAAAAGTAAATAATAGCTGTTGAGTGCTTTCTACATTCCAAGCACTGTGTGACTTAGGAATAGGGCACAGGAATAGAAGTCTGTATTATATAAGCTCAATTGTTCTAAAATCTTTTATGAGGTCAAAAACATTTAGATGTCATAATATCGATTTTTAAGAGTAATCATAGCTGGCCTGAAATCATGAGGCTAATGAAATGATCTTGAACTTCTCTGCTTGCTATGGGCATGTTAAGAGAACATGTCAATTAACCTTCTCTGGATATCTTTTTAAAGAGAACTAGGTTGTCAAAAATCTCCTAAAACCTTTCTAAGTATTGAAAAGGTCAGCAAAAATATTTACAATGTATGTAGTCTTACTTGGCATATTGCTTTCATGAACATTTTAAAGATATTAAGGTATTTACTGTTTTATACACATCGTGTGCACTTTATGTTTATATCTTATATAGAAAAACTAAAAATTGTTATGGAGAAAAAAAATTGGCCTATCATTTACATGTTAATCCTCATTAAAAAAAAAAAACAGTAGAAAGAAACTATTACAGTCTCCATCTTACAGATAAGAAACAAAGTTAAATGACTCGTTTGATGCCCGGGATGGTAGGGTAAGGCCAAGATGTGAGTCTGCCTAAGTCCACACCCTCTCTGTCCCAGTTACAATTCAGGTGCCTCTACTCACCATCAGCTGGGCATTTGCTTTGAGTCATGTTCCAGTGATGCCACGAGACATGCAGGCTCCACCAGGAACATGCCGTGACCTGGATCTCATCAGCCACAGAGTTATTGTTTAGACAGGTCCGGAAGCCACACGGCTTGGTTCTCCTCCCTCTTCCCACCCAGTGTGTAAGAAGTCAGACTGTGTGCCTGGGAGGGTGGGTGAGCTGGCTGCAATGGCCTTCGCCCCAGTGACAGGACTCATCTAAAGACCAGCAACGTCAAAGTCTCTGCTCGTGCCTGGTGCCCAGAGGACACCGCGAGCCTCACCTCTGTGTCTCTTGCAGTTATGTTTCGTCTCTATGATTCAGATGAGAACGGTCTCCTGGACCAGGCGGTAAGTTCTCTCTCTAAATGTCCTTCGTGAAACCAAGAAAACCTCAGGGAGAGGGAAGCAGGGTAGAGGAAGAGTCTAAAAACTTCCAGTTCCATCTTTATAGGAATAGTGATGTATCAATATGAGCTGCAGAAGTCATGGTAGAACTTCCCCCCCCGCCCCCCACACACACTACTACTTCCAATGGAGCCAGCCGAGGGAGGGGGGCAGTGCACTCCACATGGCCTTTTCATTTTGGAAGCCCAGGATCACAAAATCTCCAAATGGGGAGATGTTTTAGTATCTTATCTAGTTTAACTTCCTAGTGTTCCTCTCATACCTAGGGTACTAGCTCCGTGGATCTGGTTCCTCCTGCTCTGAGCAGATGGTCCCATCCCATGGCACCTGGGAAAGCCCGAGACCTGCCCCCACTCTCCCCTGGGAATAGGCAGGGATAGGACAGGATCATGGGTGAAAGGAGGGATCGAGAAGGAAGAAAGCAGGGAGGGAAGAAGGCAAAAAGAATCAGACAGGCCTCACGCTCATGGCCAGCGGTGTCAGAGATGGGACTCCTTAACAGAAAGCTGTGAGGGTGAAGGACATGGGCCTAAGTCAGACCAGTCCCACGGGGAAGGAAGGAAACAAGTCCATTAGACCAACTAAATCATCCTAACATCCTCTAAACCCCTCAATGCCTTTAGGACATTCCTACAGCCACATCGAAATGCTGTGGGTCGTGCCCTGCCGGGGAACAGCCAGAGAATCATAGACTCTCAAACATTGGATCGACACATGTTTATCGAGTGTCTGCCACATGTCAAGCACTACTCCGAGCACTGGGGGTACATCAGTGAGGCCAGTGGACAAAAATCATGCCCTCGTGAAACTTTCATTGTAGTGCAAGCACATGCACTACAAAGCATAGCAAGATACGTGTTAGAGAGAGGTGTGTGCTGGAAGAAAGGTGAAGGAGGGAAAGGAAGTGCTGGGGGCAGGGGTCTGCAGGTTTAGCTTGAGGAGCTAAGGAAGGTCTCCCTCAGGAGACATCTGTTCAGGGAGGTGAGGGAGTAAGCCATGGGGATAGCCAGACGAAGCACCTTACAGGCAGAAGGAACCTCAAGTGCAGGGGTCCTTGGGGAGGCTTGGAATGTGGGTGGATTAATGAGGAGGCCAGAGTGATGGAGCAACAGAGTGAGGAGGTCAAAGTGAGAAAGTAGTAGGAGATGAGGCCAGAGAAGTGATGACCAGGGGTGCTTGTGGGGAGAGCTCGTCAAACGTATCAAGCCATAGAGTTGATTGGGAAAGTTTGTCTTTTACTCTGGAGAAATGGAGACCCACTGGGGATTTTGAGCAGAGGGATGACATGACTTCAGTTTTACCAGATCACTCCAGCCGCTCCATTGAGACTAGATTGTCCGGACTCAAGCAGGGATATCAGGTAGGAGGCTATTGGAATAAACGAGACAGGGAATGATGGTGGCTTGCACCAGGGTAGAAGCGTTGCAGCTGGCAAGAAGTGGTTAAATTCCAGATCTATTTGGAAGGCAGAATAGGTAGATGGAAGTGAGTCCCAATAGAAATATCTGCTTCAGCTTCCCACAGCGGATCCTTGGCAGATGGATGCTCAGTGTGAAAGCTCGTTGGAATGGGGAGTTCACCTTCTCTTTGAGACAGCCATTGCACTGCTGGGGACACTGTTAGAGAGGGCTTCCTTTCTGCACAAAAGACACCTCTAGACTGCCAGAGAAATTTTCAGCACAAAACAGGATTCTTTTCTCCCCCTCCTCTTCCCCCAACCCAGCAGGGAGGTCAAAACACACCAGCCTTATGTGGCTTAGTCGGTTAAGTGTCCGACTTTCGCTTAGGTCATGATCTTGCGGTTCGTGAGTTCGAGCCCCGCGTCGGGCTCTGTGCTGACTGCCAGCTCAGAGCCTGGAGCCTGTTTCAGTCTGTGACTCCCTCTCTCTCTAACCCTCCCCTGCTCACACTGTCTCTCTCTCTCTCTCCTAGAAAAAAAACAAAAACAAAAAACACACCTGCCTTCAGCTCCTTCCCTACAACCCTCTGCTTACTTCTGCCCTGCGTAGCTGACCAGGACAGCTGACCAGTGAAATACCAGTTGTATACAATAGGCCTTTAAGTTTTTGAAGATACTGTCACATGTACCCAAAGATCTTCTTGAAGCTCAAATTCTGCAGTTTCTACACTGTTTCTCAGAAAGCAGGCTTAAATAACCACTCTGACCAACCTCTGGTTTGTCAGTGCCATTCTTTTTTTTTTTTTTTTAATGTTTATTTATCTTTGAAAGAGAGAGAGAGTGAGAGACAGAGCACAAGCAGGGGAGGGTAAAAGAAAAACAAAGAATCCAAAGCAGGCTCCAGGTTCTGAGCTGTTAGCACAGAGCCCAATGTGGGGCTCAAACTCGCAAAGTGCGAGATCATGACCTAAGCTGAAGCTGGATGCCCAACTGACTGAGCCACCCAGGCACCCCTGTCAGTGCCATTCTTAAATATAGCACAGAACTTAACCCACTCCTCCATGACTCTTGAAGTATTCACATGTGGCCTGACCATGGTAGACATCAGGGGAACAAGGTCCTCCTAAAATCTGCCTACTATGCTTCCTGAACATGCCCACCCATTCACACAGGCCAAGACTGAATCTAATTCTCCGTTCCTGAATCACATTGTTTTCATCAGTGTATCTTGGACCCAGCTAGATCCATAAGCTCTTTTTCATTGGAAATTCTGCTGAGCTCTGTCTTCACTGTTCTGCCCACTTCCTTATCCCAATCTACTGCCTCCTCTGTAGTTTTGCAATGGATTTTTAAAAGTTTAAATAAAATATAATTTTTAAAATCCCTGCTGAGTTTTAGCTGGCTTATTTTGATCCAGCATTCTACCTGGTGGAGGTAGCACTTTTTAAATAAAACTTCTAATGTTTATTTATTTTTGAGAGAGAAAGAGACAGAGTATGAGTGGGGGCAGAGAGAGGGGGAGACACAGAATCTGCAGCAGGCTCCAGGCGCTGAGCTGTCAGCACAAAGACTGATGTGGGGCTCAAACTCACAAACTGTGAGATCATGACCTGAACTGAAGTCAGACTCTTAGCCACCTGAACCACCCAGGCACCCCTAAAGGTAACATTTTTGAACTTTGCTTCAGTTCACCAATGTGTCTCTGAAGATCAGTCTTACTTTGAACATCTTCGATGGTGCCCAAGAGATGCACATACCTCCTCAGTCCAGCGTATTTCCATGCAACTCTTGGTGCACTGATTCATTAGCGTACAATTCTGTGAGGTTTTAAATAAAACCTGGTCTTGGTACTAAACAAAAGGCTCACTCACCAAGCAAATGTAGCCCTTACACATTTCTGATTCACAGAGCCCTGGGCTCAGGGCTGGACGTGATGCAAAGGAAACAGAGGAGATGCCCAAAGGAAGGTAAATCATAGTGCCTGAGCTAGAACCAACAAGGTGCCCTACATCCAACTGAAACTGATCCTTGAGGGGTATAGATGGATCTCAAGTTGTTAAAACTGTGGGAATGAGGAGGGATAAAAGAGAGAAGAGAGAACTGCCTTGGCTTGTAAGTATTTAGGGAGCTATAATCACAGAGAAGGGGAAAAGATGGGTAGCTTCTATGCTGGGTCAAAGTGCAGAGTTGGTAAAGAAGGTGAGTCCAGGAGGAGGTCAGTGTTCAGTGAGCTTTCTCCATACCTCTGGCTTATCCATGTTCTGTGCTTCTTGTGAGCATCTACTCTCTATACAGCTTTGTAGTCAAGGCAGAAATAAAGAACAGAAACAGATGGTGAGCTCCTTATGAAATGCCAGTAGGTTACACTGTTGCTTCTTATGCTCTGCCTTGCCCATCTTCCTACAGGGTTGGACTTTGAGTGTTGCTCTTGAAAACACAACTTTAGTGGTTCTCTCCTCTTGATGTTTTTCAGGAGATGGATCGTATTGTCAACCAGATGCTTCACATTGCCCAGTATCTGGAGTGGGATCCCACAGAGCTGAGGCCTGTGAGTTTCCAGAAGCAAGGGGTGATGTCCACGTGAACCTCCAAAATGAGAGCGGGGCTCAGGATGTGGATACAAATATTTACTGTGCATGCTGTCCCAGGCTTAGCTTCTTATAGGCGATTTCTCTAGGGTCCTATAACTTGACCTCCCACTTCTCTGATAGGAAAAATTAAAGACATAATTCAAATAATAATACCTAATAATTTGCCCTAACCTTTCCACCAGAGCTAAATTTTTATAACAGGAGTTCAAGGAATTTAGAGCTAGAAAGAATTTTAAAGATTTTCTCAGTCACTAGATAATATTAAAAATAATAATTACACTGGGGGTCTTCATGTGTCAGATATTAGATTAGACATTTGATATACATTCTCTTACCCTCACTACAGTGCTACAAACATAGCAGTGTTATTTTCATTTTATGGATGAGCAAAGCAAAACCCAGAGAGTAGGAATGGCTTGCCCAAGGCCACACAGTCAGGGCAGGGCAGGGCCAGGTGTGGAACCCTGGCCTCCTTACCCCCATTTGCTCCCTGACTGCTCTGCTAATTGTGAATTAGGGGGCAAAGGGGTAAAACACAAACCAGATAATGCAGAGCAAAAGAGAAAGAAGGAGACAGAGGGAGGCAGGGACGTGCGGGATGAAAGTGGACAATTGTTGCTCTCTGGGTTCTGCAGATACTGAAGGAGATGTTGCAAGGAATGGACTACGACGGGGACGGCTTTGTGTCTCTAGAGGAATGGGTCCATGGAGGGATGACCACCATCCCACTGCTTGTCCTGCTGGGCATGGATGACTCTGTAAGTCAGCAAGCCTGAGCTCAAAGAGCTCTTGCCTTTCAGAAGCATCAGGCTCCATGTGGAAGTTAACATCTCTATATGGTCTTGGTTTCAGCCCCAGACTTCCCAATGGACATACCAGATGCTTAAGGCCAGCCCAAAAGTCCTCTCTTTTTACTGATTAGTGCCTGGCATATAATTCATTCATTTGACAGAGGACATTTGCTAAATGATAACTAAATAAAGATACTGTTCTGAGCACTGGGAGGGAAGACAGATACAGTTTTCATCCACCAGAAGTTTATACTCAACCAGGACGGGGGAAAAATTCAAGGGAGAATTCCATCTTTTCCACAAATTAGGTTAAAACATGCTAAGAGAGTTGAGGAAGGAAGGAAGGGAAGGAAAAATACCAATCTGTTGGAAGGTGGGGGGCATTGTGATGGTATCTTATTCAACCATCAAAACAATCAGATAAGATAGATATTGTCCCCCAATTTATATAGATGGAAAACTGAGATTTGGGGCCTAAAGAGCAAGGGAGGAGCCATAATTTATTTGCACTTGACTCCAAAGATTCCACACTTTCTAAACCTCCCATGCTTAGAAGTGAGAAAGTGGGGAGAAGCCTTAGAGGTTGTTTGCCCTGGCCGGAAGTATGTGTGGGATTCTGGTGTCTCATCCTTGAGTGTAAAGATTAGGTAGAAAGACCTTAGAGGATGTTGGATCTGGTTCTCAAGGATGGATATGATTTTACTGATGGAAGATGATAGAAGAGAGAGTTTGCGGCCGGAGGAAAAGCTTGGTCAAAGACCTAAATGTCAGAAAGTTCAGAGTGTATTAGAGAAACGTCCCAGTTTGATCTGAGTAGGGGATACATGTAGAGGCTTCATGTGAAATCCATTGCAGTATATGCCTGCATCTGACCTAGTCTTCTTTTGCAAGGGAAATAACTTCCATACACAAGGTAGGAAGGATAAGAACCAGAACTACGCATCGTGACATTAAGCATTTACCAGGACCATTGCATCAGTTGTGGACAACACTTTGAGATTATTGAAATGTCTGAGAGAAGAATGGAAAGTTCATCTGAGTTGCCTGTAATGTCTCCATGTGACAGTTCTGCAATACAGGACTGCAGTTCAGGACCCAAGCCTCATTCCCAACACTCAAGAACAAAGAATCCTGCTGTCATCTGGCACGTCCAGGTCTTTTCAGGCCCTAACTAGATATCAAGGACCCGGGAGCTATACAACTGCCTTCTTATTCCTTAGGACCCAAAAAGTCCGTGCTGGAAAAGATCTTGGTGATCTGTGGCCTAGTCCTTCATTTTACAAACTGGGGGCCAGAGAGGTAAAGGGATTTTGCCAGGGACACACACTTGGTTAATACCAGAGGCTAACCTCCATATTTCGGAGGAGCATACCGCTCATTCAGTGACTCTTTACCAAGAACATTCCATGAGCAAGAACCCACATGAGCTAGGACATGAGGTGCTCAGATAAGGAAGACACGCTATCTGCTCTCAATACTTAAATCAAATTGGAAGTTCTGCTTGGGTGTTGTTCCAGCATACCTGTTTTTTTTTTGTTGTTGTTTGTTTGTTTGTTTTCTGAAACGTGGGAATGGAGATGAGACACTTTAATCACAAGGAAGCAATTTCTGTTTTCTATTCTGTCTTAGACTTGCTAAGTCCAGGGCGCCACACAACTCTTTGCATGGAGCCGCTGTCTTATGGCTGGAAGAGGGAGAGACAGACTATTTCTTCACCACTCCCTCCAGAGTCCCCCCCAAATGCCAAACCAGCCACATAGAAGGCCATAATTTACATCAATGAAGTGGCAGACAAAAGCAAATGTGAATATGGTTTCTCTGAATCAAAAGTTTCATGCATTTAATTCTAAATATGCACTAAATTGTAAGTTTTTACATCGAATACTCAGGGTTCTAAAGAAAGCACCCCTCAGCATCTTAATCACACTGCACCTTTGGCTCTTTCCAAGCTCACCTGCGGACAGTGAAAATCTCTGAATGGCACACATTCATATGAGAAAGAGTCTGCGTCCAGGGGAAGTTGCAATGACACTCTAGCACCTGATTCACAACGGGGAGGTGACTCCCACATCCTGCAGAAATGAAAGAGCCACATGATGGTGCTATAACCAAGCAGAAATGTTGCTTTATCCTTCCTCTGCGTGCTTTCGCTTCTAACCCTTTATCTGCGAAAATAGTATCTGAGAAAAGGAAAGTCAGCCGACTTAGTTAATGAAGGTATTTTCAGGTAAAGTGATGATCATTCAGACTCCAGGAAGATGCAGCTGGGTCTGCTGAAGAGTGCTGTAATCTCCCTTCTATCCAGGAAGGAAAACCCTGGATTGTAGACAGGCAGGGGAGAGGGATGAAAGGGCTCAGGCCAGCAAGAGCTGAATTATTATTAAATCAGTTCCTTGTTGTTTTATGGTCTTGGATTATTTATATAACTTCTCCAAGGCCCTCTTTCTTTGTTTCTGGTATAGGTATAAGTCTACCTCCTGACAGGTAAAAAGGCACTCCACTTATTTTGCATTCCTTGGTGTCTAACAGAGAGAGAAACTTAATAAGTTTTAGTTCACACTATGGTAAGTACTGGATTAGTAGCATTACTTATATTATAGTATTTAATTCTTAGAAAAATCCTCTGAATTAGATGTTTATCAAATGAATGGATGGATCACTCTTTTTATGAATCATTTAATCAATTAGTAAATCTGTTTACGAAAAGTGGAAATCATTAGATAAAAAGACTCTATAATTCTGTAAAACTCAGATCTTGAAAGAAGCAGGATTTTGAGGTGGTGAGACGAAAAATGCTTAGCCTTCCCCCAGGAGGAAACCAGCATTTGGAAAGGCAGATGGGCTTTTCTAGAGACCATAAGGAGCACCATCTGGGCCCAGGAATGGATCCGGCTGCTGTGACCAGCCCAAACCAGAGGTGCCCAGAAGCAGGAACCTGCTGTGAGTCTGGCACGCTGGACTCTATGTCCCTGACTGCCAGTCCTCCCCACCTTATTACGGTAGTTCTGACTGCCCTTAAGACCAGCCCAGGGGTATTAGTGTTTTCATGGAGCCCATGAGAAAAGTTCAGGGACAGCATGCATGGAGGCATATTCCTGAAGCCATAGCCTCCAGTGAGACTGTGCTCCCATAGCTAGAAGCTGGAAGATGTGGTGTCCCAGGGAGGCTGTGTAATTGTGTGAGGCTTGGCTTATCTAGTGGATAAGGATGAATTTGCCAATTCAGGAGGAAGTAGTTTAACCCTTTCTCTATCTCTGTCTCTTTACTATTTCATCTGTGTAGAGAAAGTTGAGAGAAGTATGTTGTTTTCACTAAGCTACTTTTGCTTGATTAGAAAACCAGTGCATGCTCACTGTAGAGAGTTTGGAAGATGCAGAAGAAAGGAGAAATTAGAGATAAAAATAAATCAGTGGTACTAACAGTAGCTAACCTCTGTTAATAGCTTGGTGACATTTCTTCCCATCAAAGATCTTATTGTATAAAACTGAGATTGTATTGTCAAATTTGCATTGTACTTTCTTCCCTTAGCATTGTGTCATGAGCACATTCCCATGCCATTACTCTTATTAGTATCTTTTTGATGGCTGATAAATGACATGGATGTACCACAACTAACCTTTGGATACTTTTGAGACCTTCAGAATATTTCCAAATTTTCATTATTTTAAAGATTTTTTTAATGCTTATTTATTTTGAGAGAGAGAATGGGAGTGGCAGAGAGAGGGGGAGAGAGAGAATCCCAAGCAGACTCCACATTGTCAGCACAGAGCCCAACATGAGCCCCAACCTCATGAACGGTGAGATCATGACATGAGTTGAAATTAAGAGTCAGGTGCTTAACTGACTGAGCTATGCAAGTGCCCCCAATTTTAAATAATGCTGGATTAAACATCTGGCAGAGCACAAAAATGTTCATCTGACTTTCAAAAATTACTACTTTAGGATGAAATCCAAGAAGGAGAATTTTTAAGTCAAAAGTTACAAACATTTAAAGGATGTTGATGGATGGATACATGGATGCATATGTAGAGAGAGATAGAAGATGGATTAAAAAGTCCGTTCTGACTTAACACTTCTGCTAGCCATGTAGGAGAGGTCTTATTTTATCCCTCATACATACACTCCTATTCAGACATTCCTAATTTGTAATATTTGCTAATTTTCAAAACAAAGACTTTGTTTTGATTTGTGCTTCTTTTGAAAAGAGCCCCTAAAACAGTTAAACAAGTGAATAGCTTGTGTCCCATATAGGAGAAGAGTCTTTTTAGAAAAAAGAGAAACCAAAAAAAAAAAAAAAAAAAAGAAAAAAGAGAAACCTACGCGAGCCGCTCCCTGGCTTCTGCTAGTGTGGGGCTGCCCGCTCTGCATCTCATTCCTCATGTCCCTGCAGGGCTCCAAGGGGGATGGGAGGCACGCCTGGACCATGAAACACTTCAAGAAACCCACCTACTGCAACTTCTGCCACATCATGCTGATGGGCGTTCGGAAGCAAGGCCTGTGCTGTGTTTGTGAGTCAGCTTCCTTCAAACCCCTTTCCCCAGGAAGTGTCTTGCTCTGCACATACTCAAGCCATTCCAGGGAGGGTCTAGGTGCTTCTGCTTCCTGGCTTGAGGGACCACCTATATTGTCCAACAGCAGGAAATCAAGCAAGAGCTCTGTGTCCTATTTCAGTTCTACCCAAGTCGAATGAACAAATATTGTCGTGTTAGTAGACTCCTGTCATGGGCCACTGAGCCCTAGAATAAATGATCAACGTTCACACAGAATTTCAAAACATCTCATAGTAATTTTAGTTGGGTTTTGCTAGTGAATGTTTATTTTGCTGAAGCCAGGGGTGGTCATTAATAAGCAATATAAAACGGGATTGTGTTAATGCATGGAACTTAAGAGTCTCCTTTTGTTTGTCTTTATAATCCATTTAGTAAAGTCAGACAGGAGAGGCAGAAAAAAACAAAGGTGAAAAAAGAGGGGAGGGGACTGGAAAGAAGAAGTGAGAAAGATGGAGGGGAAGGAGGAAAAGGGGTGATGTAAGAAGGAAGGGGGGACAGGGAGCAAGGGAGCAGGTGGAGAGGCAAAGAGGCTACAGTGGCTTTACAGGGGCCGGGGCCTGTGGCTGCAGAGTCCTGCCAGCCACCTTACCATACAGGCAGCACTCACTCCTCCTGGACCCACGAGAGTCTGGTGAGCTGTTGTTTGAGTGCCATTCAGGCCACCGAACTATTTCATCTAAGCATGCACACACGAGCTAGGCAGCAAGTGACCCAGCCACAGAAGTCGCCTTAGCAGAGCAGAGGCCTATGTCGACCAAGAGGCAGCATCAGTGGGCTAGTGAAGGCCACCAGGCTTTCCAGCTCTGACACTATCTTCTAGAAGAACCCCGTCTCATTCCTGGTGGGTTTGAGGCCTGTGGGCCTCTACTGTTGGCATAGGAGTAAAGAGTGGTAACAACCACAATAATAATGTGTGGAATAGCTATTCTGACCCAGACATCTAGTGCTTTACACACCTTATCTCATTTAATGCTGTAAAAGCCTTGCAAAGAGAAAGAGGCAGTTTTGTCCCCAAAACCCCGAGTTTCAGAGACATGAAGAAAGTTACCCAAGATTATGTGTGTGGTTACCAATGGCAGAGCCAGAGTTCAGGCCCAGGCTTGCTTAACTCCAAGTCTCCAAAGTCAGAACACCCCAGCCTTTCTCCTTCCTCTCCAGCACCCCCGACATACATGGCATTGGCATGCAGAGGAGGGGGACTCCTCACACTCTCCTTAGCGGAAAGGGCCTTTCTGGGAATGTCATCTTGCTGTGTTCACTCTCTGCAGTGGAAGCCAGCATGTTGGGGCACAGGGTACAGAAACCTGTCTGGGGGAGAACTGTGGACTCTCTTCTCAATAGGCAACTGGAGATAGTTCCAGATTTCCATTAGGAAGGCCAGTTCCATATGTTCCCTGCCTCTAACTGGCCACCGAGAGGGAGGCATGGGCCTGGGCTGAAGTGGAGGTGGGCAGATGGCTGGACCTCCCTAGGTGGCCATTCACAAGCACTTTCCTTTTTTTTTTTTTTTCCAGATTGTAAATATACTGTCCATGAACGCTGTGTATCCAAAAACATTCCTGGATGTGTCAAAACATACTCAAAAGCCAAAAGGGGTGGTGAGGTTAGTGATACCTATTGTTTTACTGCATGCTGCATCCTGGGCAACACGTCCATCATCACAGATTCCTGAGCAGGAAGCTTTATCAAGTCCCGTCTCTGCCTCAAGGACCACCCTTAAATCATCCCGTTCATCCATCAATCCATCAGCATCTCCATGGTGCCCACCATGTGCCACACACTGTACTAGGGGGTATACAGGTTACAAGAAGGTCCGCAGCCTGTTCCAGAACTATGGAGTATAGTGGGAGAGAGAGAGACATGTAAGCAAAGTACAAAGAAGTGAGAGGTATGATAATGGTAGGTCTATGTGGGATGCCCAATGGAGGCACCAGGGAGGAGGCCAGGGGAGTTTCAAGGAAGTGAATTTGAGTTGTGTCTTGAGCCCACATCAGGAGCACTTCACAAGGCATCAAGGAGGACAAGGCACCATAGGCAGAAGAATCTTCAAGTGCAAGGCATGGAGACATGGCATATTCTAGACCCTGTAGTCAGTTTGGTGTGCCTGGGACAGGGGATGCCTGTAGGGAGGTGATGGGAATAGGCTCTGAAAGAGCTAGGTCCAGCCTGGGAGTCAGAAAGGGGTCTCTTACACAGTGCAAGGGCCACTGAAGAGTTTAAGCACATGAAGAAATGATGGGGGTTGTGAATTCGGCTAACTGCTCTGACCATGGTGCAAGAGAGACATCAGAGGAGGGAAAACTGTTCAGGCAAGAGGCAGTGCCTCACTGAGGGCCTGACAGGGGCTGAGGGGCACTGTGCACTCGCTACCCTCAATACATTCGCAGTCACACCATGGTGGCCATGTCTCTACTGAGTATCCCCTGGTCATGCTGGTTACTGTGTATTTTGACTGTCTTCCTGGATAAGGTAGAGGAGATGAAGGGAGAGTTTGACCCATAATTTGGAGGTACAACCACCAGGACTTGGTGATGGGGATGTAGGGGATGAGAGCGAGAGGAAGAGATCAAGAGTGGCTTCCTGGTCTTGAACTTGGCCATTGGATGATGCCATTCAGAGTGTAAAGATACACTCTCCTTAATATTAGCAGGGGAAGGGCACTCTGAGTTCCCGCAGAGGGAAGGGACCATTGAACCTGAGTCAGGAGATGATTAGCAGCAGGGAGTGGCATCCAGCCCTCTGCAAAGAGACTCCTGAGAGAGAAGGGCACCTCCAGGACACACATGCATGCCCCATGAGACACTGCATGGTCTCTTGTCTACTCCATACACCATGCCCTTTTCATGTCCATACCTTTCACTGGGACACACTGTGTACCACCTGGGCTCGCACCCTAAGCCTAAGCTCTGGCCACTTGCCACATACGCAACAGAGAGAGGCCCCTGACGGGCCAGTAGGGCACATTCACAACCTCCTGAGTCCCCAGGGCAACCCAGGTTGCCATCTCTTCTGATCCCAGGAGAGGATGGAGAAGGCAGCATAGTGGTGGGACACAGCTGTAGACTTAGAGTCAGGAGACCTGGCCATGAGTCCTTATTGACCACTTAACAGCCTTGGAATCTAGGGCCAGTCCCTTAGCCCCTAAGAAGCTTCATATTTTTCTCTCCAAAATGGAGATCATAGGACTTTCAGAGCAAATCAACGTGACCAGATAGATGACAAATTGATTAGCAAACTGGGTTCTTTATACCTGCAGGTTTATTTTACACAGGCTGTAAAATAAACATGACACAGCTTCTAGAGCCACAGTTTTACCAACAGTGGAGGTAGTAACTTAATTGATAAATAATTTAAAACTTCTGTTTAGTACCAATACGGGTGGTATCATGCAGATACTCCATGTGTTTTTAATATTGTTGTTTGTAGTTGGCACTTCAGGCTGTGCCCTCACATTCCTCCTGAGTCCGCAGCCTCTTCATTCTGCTGTTTGGGGTGCCCTAGGGGACAGTTTTGAGAAGCTCTGTAGAAATCCTGGACAGAGATAACTGAGGGCGTTGGCTCCCAGAATCAGGTGTCATAGGTCACTCTGGCTCCACTCACATATACACACAAACACCTACTCTCCCCACCTGGTTCCCGCGTCCCTGTGTTGTTCTGGTGGCGTTTCCCGGTCAGTGTGCAGGTACAGCCAGCTATCCAGGAGACAGATGTTCAAGCCACGGGCTGCTGAACCACACTAATTTCTTTGGACTTTCTCTCTAACGTTCTTCTAGAGTGCTTCTCAACCTTAGCTGCACATTATTTATAATCGTTCAGGGTGCTTTAAAAGAAACTACTGATGAGTCCTGTCTCCAGAGACTCTGATTGATTTGATCTGGAGTGAGGGCAGGTTAGTAGGGCTTCTGGAAGCTCCCAGGTGGTTCTAATGAGCTGAGAGCCACTGGCCTATAGAGGACTGGAGGGGAAGGGAGTTTTATCCTTAAATGGACACCTCCAAAGGGCCAAAACTGTGCCAGAGAGGCTCTTCCAAGTGTGCTATCTTTTTAAATCCTTCTAGCAAACCTAGAGGTGGGGCTTATCACGCCAAATTCTACAGATGAGGGTCCTGAGACTCAGAGAGGTTCAGGAACTGGTCCAAGGTCACCTGGCTGCAAAGTGGAAGATCAGTGACTCCAACCAGTTTTGTCCGCAGCCCAAGCCTCTGCAGGCTTCCCTGCGTCACGTTGCCTTCCAGAAGAGGGCGCACACAAGCACCTCACTTCCGGGAGTTCTTCAAGACAGACAGAAGGGCTGCCAGACAAGATGCTGCTCAGCCCGGGCGAATGAGCTGTTCAAAGTGCGGGCCAAATGCGTTTTGTCTACTTTGATTAGGATGATGGTGGTTAGGCAGGAAGGGACCAAGTCCGTGCAGCGCGGCAGAGCAGCCCCATATCCACTAAGCGCATCCACTGAAGGGAAAGCAACCCCTCTGCCCCTCCCCCTCACTCCTCCCAGACCCTTCTCCGCAGGCTCCTGGCAGGGGGATGTGGCTCTGCAGCCTTCCCTGGTATCCTTCCCTTCCCTCCTGCAGGTGATGCAGCACGCGTGGGTGGAAGGGAACTCTTCTGTCAAGTGTGACCGGTGCCACAAAAGTATCAAGTGCTACCAGAGCGTCACCGCGCGGCACTGCGTGTGGTGCCGGATGACGGTGGGTTGGCGCGCAGGGTGGCCCTGTTTCTTTTCAGTGTGTTTTTGCTCAGGCCGTGGCCAGGGAGCGGTGGACGTGCCGCCGGAGAGCATGAGCAGACTAGGGAAGCAAGACTGGGGGGCCCAGAGCCCCGGTTCAGTGTTCTAAGAGTGCCTCCAGTGAATCACCAAGCTTCCCAGAGAGAGGCCAGCCCCAGAACCAGGGGAGCGAGAGCTGCTTAGGAAGAAGCAGGCAGCTGTGAGCAGCAAGCCAGGCCATTAACATGTTCTTCTGGGTGTCATCTGGGGCTGGGGGCACAGAGTAGGGGTGGAATTAGTCAGCAGAGCCCCTGCTCCTCAAGATGTCAGAGGAAGGCACACTCCTTACAGCGGCCTCACTGCCGGGACACGGTCCTGCATCTGCTTCTGCCAGTCACAATTATCTGCAAACTTCCGGACATGTGAAGTGGCCCAACCTGCCAGCCAAAGCAAAGCTTGTGCCATGTCTTGTCCCCTTGACCAGGTATCAGCCTCAAAAAGGATGTGCCTCCATCAGACCGCGGATCCATTAAAATACACAGGTTGAATCTTGAGTTTTACTTCCCGCCTCCTGCAAGTTTGTTCATTAAGATCTCCTGCCTTCCAGAGTCTCAGAGCCTAGGGAGCAAATACGCAAGGGGGGTTCTGAAATCCACACAGGGGTGCCCTGCTGAAAGGTCACAGGCCTGCCCATGACCATTTCACTTCAGCAGTCATGGACAGCACTTGGTCTTCTTTCTCTGCCTGTAGCCAGCTTGGCACCAATGGCCACACTACACACACACACACACACACACACACACACACCCCACAGAGCTATACTGCCAAAGCCGGCAGTGCATAAGGATGTGGGGGAGTATTACATAACTGCCTCCTCAGCAAACCTCTGAACCCTCACCCTTGATACTTCCTTGGTCACTTTCATTCACTCTCACCTTCATTGTCCTCCTCTAGTTTCACCGCAAATGTGAATTATCAACGTTGTGTGACGGTGGGGAACTGAGAGACCATATTTTGCTGCCCACTTCAATATGCCCTGTCACCCGGGTAAGTGTTGCTGCCCCGCCAGGTTTCTCTGGGCTCCACATTTCACTTGTAGGCAGAGTTCGGATGGGTCGCGTCCCTCCAAGGGCTTCCTCACACCTCCTAGGGTATGTGTTTTCGCTACAAGTTTGAAAGGTCAGTGCCACCCTCATCAGATTGTGAGAGAAAACTCCTTTGATGGGTTCCAAGCAACTGCTGGCCACCTAGATGCTCCAAAATTGCCCATCAAGGGAAGCACATGCATTCTAAGCACCTTGCCAGCAGAGAACACAGTTGCAGGAATTTCTGCCACCACCTACACATGGCTAGGCCTCCTGGCCACCCAGCCCCCCACCCCTGCCCATCCCTGTCAGCCTGTCTCTTATGTCTAAGCATGGAAATTCCTCTGCCTTGAGAATTCCTACTTGGGGGGCCCAACCCTGTTTGGAGAGGAAAGCAGGAGAATTCAAGTCCATTTATCTCCATCTGAACCTTTCTGCCTCTTGTGTTGAAGGCTCCTCTTTCCAAACCAAACACCAAACACCTTAACTGACCCCTTCTGTCTTCAAGAGTTGCTGAGTCTCAATGATCCCTCACATTTCATCCTTGACTTGACTAGCTACTCCTTTTTCATTAAAAGGCTGAAGGAAAAACATCACTTTGGAAAACCAGTTGGCAGCATCTACTAGGTTGGAAACACTCTGTGACCCAACACATCCTCCTATATATCTGCTGGAGAAATACATGCATTTAGGGGCACCTGGGTAGCTCAGTCGGTTAAGCGTCTGACTCTTGATTTTGGCCAGATCTCATGGTCAGGAGATCAAGCCCCTCATCGGGCTCGGTGCTGGTTGTGGGACCTGCCTAGGATTCTCTCTCTTCCTCTCCTGCCCCTCTTCCACTCAATTGTACCACTTGCTCAAAGAAAGGAAGAAAGGGAGGGAGGAAGAAGGAAGGAAGCTGAGCATTTATTCCACCAAAGATCTGCACAAGAATGTTCATATTGGTTTTGTTCATAACAGTCAATAACTAGAACCTAGCTAAATGCTGACAGAGGGGTTTGAGGCATATCAGTGCAAAGGAATACTGCATTGCAGCGAGAAAGAGGCTATGCTGAGCCACAAAAATGTGGATAATCTCAAAGATACAATGCTGAACAAAAGAAGCTAGACTCAAAAAGAGATACTCCCTAGGTTTTCATTTATGAAATTTAAAAGGCAGGAGTGATGCCTGAAGAGACAGTAGTTATAAGGGCATAGATGTATGCAGAAGTTCATCAAGACAGAGATTTAGATTTGAACATTTTACTATATTGTGCAAAATAAACCTCCATAAAATAAATACTAAGCATTGAAGAAAACAAACAAAACCGGACAAACAAAACTAAGAAAAGTGGCTTACTCAGTATCACATCAGTTAGATAGTGCTGAGCAGAGAAGCCAGATCTAAGACCTTCCTTCCCAGAGCTCAAGCTTCTAAATCAACAAAGTAAATTTCTGCCAATTTCAGCATTTCTTCTTCGTAGGTCTGTTCCAGTGTTTTGAAGTCAAAGTCAGAGCAAACGATGATAGAGGCCTGGGGAGTCTGAGAGAAACCCATAGAGAAGCATTTCTCTTTTTTTTTTAGATCCAAAGCACCATTTTGGAAAACTCTTCCCTACTCTATACTGGTTCTGTATTCTCTTTCTTTATATTAACTATTTTTTTCTCATGATCACTTTTAATATTTGCGTTTTTTTTCTTCAAAATATGTTTGTCTTTCCTCTCGTCACAGGACAGGCAAGGTGGGAAGTCTGATGGCAGCGTGTCAGCTAAGGGTGAACTTGTAACGCAGGTACTTCCACAAGCCTCAAGCCCATCTCTCATTCTGAGTTGGTCCACAGCTATTGGTGGGGGGGGGGGGGGGGAAAGGGGGACAGGATCTCAACATTTGCTTTCTCATCTGATGGATTACATCACACAGGAGGACACTTTATTTCTAGCTTCTGGAAATTATCTTTGACCACCACACCGTNCTCGTCACAGGACAGGCAAGGTGGGAAGTCTGATGATAGGCCTCTTTTTGTGGGCAGGTCATTAACGCAGGTACTTCCACAAGAATGATTCCCATCTCTCATTCTGAGTTGGTTTACAGCTATTGGTGGGGGGGGGGGGAGGGAAAGGGGGACAGGATCTCAACATTTGCTTTCTCATCTGATGGATTACATCACACAGGAGGACACTTTATTTCTAGCTTCTGGAAATTATCTTTGACCACCACACCGTTGGCAAGTGGTGAAAAGGGGACGCTGGTTGATCCCATTGCTGATAAAATAAATTGTATCACCCTTTTAGGAACAAGTTATATAAAACTTCAATATGCCCACCGAAATACTAACAACAGTGTGGACTAAAAAATATATAATGGGTTTTCCAAGACTGTCGAGCTGTCTCTAGAATGTGATCTGCCAAAACAAAGTTAAGATCCAGAAGTTCTTCTTTATACTTGAAAAGGGAGGGGCATAGCAATCCCTGCACTGCCCACCTCCCAGAGATGCTTTACGATTAAATGAGAACATGCAGATTCGTGTGTCTTGAAAATTAAAACATAAGCAATAATGATGGAGAAACCTTAATAATATGGAAGAGCTGTAGATGCTTAGAAAGGCAGATGGAGTACACGCACGCACACACACACACACACACACAATGCATGTAGACCAGTTGTTTACAGCTGGCATCTATCTCGTTATCCTGCATCTGCTTTGATTGGGAGTGCCCATGCTGTATGGGTTGTTAAGTATTTTGAATATCATCCCTGGAGGTAAAGAATTACTCCTCAGGCTCCAAGGTGCTTCTGGGTGTCACACAGTCGTCACCATGGGAAGATGATATGAATCTTAAAAACTCTAAAGAATGCTGCTGTCCATTTGAAACAACATGGTGCTGTGCTTGCTGAAATTTTAGCTTGAGATCTGGAAAAGTAGGCATCACACATTGAATACGGAATATAGCTATATCTTTGTACCAATCTGTCCTTCAGCTGAATCCACAAGTATTTATTAAGTGCTCATTCCCATATCTGGTGTCATGAGGAGCTTGGTTGGGAGGGTTATACACACACCTGCCCTGCTCCTGAGACATTCAAATCTAGTTGATATTTTGAGACATTTACCTAAGAAAACATAAAACAAAACCCATGTGAATGGGCAACAAAAGAAGCTCAGATGGTATTACATACTTCAAGTGCAATGATTTCAGTTGCAATGATTGAGGAAAGCTTTACATTGTAAGTAGCTCTTGAATTGGACTCCCAGAATGAAAAGTTCTCTTTAAAAAGGAAGTGGGCTCTTCGGGGCACCAAGGAGGAGAAGAAACCAGAGGGATCAGCCCCACAGGGTGGGAAGTCAGGAGACACACTTACTCGAGGGTAAGAGCCAGACTTGGATGGGATGCAGCTGAGAGCTGTAGCAGTTAGGGGGCAACAGTCGATTGGGGCTATGCTGAAATGTCTTGGATCCTGGGTTAGGAGATTTGAATTGCATCCTCTGGGCAACAAGGTGTCATTAAAAGTTTCTGAGCAACAGTGTCATGACTGATGTCCCAGGAAGAAACTGAGTACGGGACTTACCTGAGGTGGGAAAAGCCCAAGCTGGGTGGGTACCATGGCAGCTGCCAGAGATAAAGAGACATCCAGGGAAATAATTGGCAGGACAGGACCTTCCCTAGAAGACTAGATGAAGGATAATAGTACGTTTAAGAGAAACTGAGCCAGGAGAGAGGACCAGGTCTGTGGGGAAGGAAGACAGGTCGGGTTCGGGCTTATGAGTTTGCAGTGATTGAATGTGAGACATCTGGCTCAGGTACCCATTGGACAGTAGGAAATGTGGAACCAGGGCTCAAGAGCAAAACTGGGGCTGGAAAGGTGGATTTGGAAGGTGCTGGTGGAAGTGATGGTTAACTTCATGATTGTTATTTGATTGATGCATATGACCAGAGGACCATAACTTCTAAAATTATATTCCATTGTATCCCTCACAAAATATAATCTGGTGCTTATAAGAGCACCTGGCTGGCTCAGTCGGTGAAGTGTGGGACTCTTGATCTCAGGGTTGTGATTTCAAGCCCCACAGTAGGCATAGAGCCTACTTAAAAAAATAAATTAAAAAAAAAATATAATCTTGTGTTTATAGCCACAATACCATATCATCGTGCAGTTACAGTGCCATTGCCGCATCTCTGATCCTAGCCTCAAACTCTTGTCACCATTAACACTACTAAAGGCTACTGAAGCTGAAGACATTTAGCTGCTTAACCCCTCAGAAAACTCAGCCAGTGGACAAAGACGTACCTTCTAGCTACCTCTCTTCCATGCTGGAAGCGCGTCCCATCCACCTTTCCCGGAAGCCCTCTTAGCGTCAACTTTTGTCTCTTCCATCCTACTGGCTGAAAAAGAGCTAATTTCTTTTTCTTTTACCTTTTAAGTATAAGATCATCCCCACCCCGGGTACCCACCCCCTGCTGGTCTTGGTGAACCCCAAGAGTGGAGGGAGACAAGGAGAAAGGTATGTTCTCTTCTTTTTCAAAATGGAGCGGCTGAGGCAACCTCACTCAGGCTTTTTCTTCCCTCAACAGGGTGGACTGCAGAGACAGGCAGATCTGGGTTTCAGTCCCAGCCCTACTACTTACCACTTTATGACCTGGTTCAACTGACTGCTTAACATCCCCGTGCCTTGATTCCCTCCCCTATGAATGGAGATAATAATAATTTCTCCTGTCATAGCTGCATTGTGAGGATTAAAGTAGACATATGCTTAGCCTAGGGCCCATCACATGAGCCATTATCATGGCTCCCAGGGTCGGACCAAGTTCTGAGACGCCTGTTTCCTTCCCAGCCTCCCAGGTCCTTTCTTGATTTAAGAGGTGTGGCAGGACTCCTTTGATTGGGACCTCCTGGCCTGTCTATCTCCTGAGAAAGCAGGGCACTACCTCCTCAGTGAAGGAAATGCTCAGTCTCCTGGAAGCACTAAGGGAGTAAGAGGAGAGAAGGGAAAGGGGCGAAGGAGCTCTGCCTCCCTGTCCTGTTCAGCTCAGGGCGATGGACAGACAATGCAGTGACCTGGAATCTGGGTTTACAAAATAATAAATAGGGTTGAAGCAAGAACTGCAAGAACCCCTACCTAGTCCAAGGGACAAAGCACCTGCTGAACTGACCTGATTCGCTGGAGCTTCGACACCCAGCCTAGAGGTGGTCGCTGCCTCCGGCCCCTTCGCCTTTCCTTGCCCAGCCCCACCTCCTGCATTTCCTTCTGATCCCAGGATTTTGGGGGCTTTCCATAGAAGGTTCCTCGATATCTCTGTATAGTCCACAAAGAGCAGAATCACACTACCTAGAACATACAGAACATTTGGGAGAAGAATAAAGCTTTAAGAATAGAAGCTTTATTTTCAGCAAGAGGGGGATGGTCCTGGGTTGAGTGCTACAATCTTGGATGGTGGGGAGGCCTTGAGCCAGGGTGCAAGGGTGCGGATGATGCCAGCTGGACCTGGGGCTTCAGGGTCTGCATGGCCTGTGTGCAGTCTTCTCCCTTCTTGGGTTTCAGTGGACCCAGATTGCCACCATGAGTGGACCCCAGAGGTGTTTGCCCTACTGTGCCTTCTCACAATGACATTCTCCTTCTCTGTCTCTCTCTTTCTTTTTTTTCCCCCATAGAATTCTTCGGAAATTCCACTATCTGCTCAACCCCAAACAAGTTTTCAACCTGGACAATGGGGGGCCTACTCCAGGGTATGGAGAAATGATCCTTTTTATCTCTCCTCCTCCACCCTTCATTTCTGAAGAAGATACCTATCTTTGGTCACCCTTCATGTCTCTTTCATCTGTGGACTTATCCTTCCTGACATTTTACTCTTTTCATCTTCTTTTCCTCCCCTCTACTCTTATTTGCTCCTGGGGATACTCATCAACACCCCTTATGGCTAAGTCTGAGAAGTAGCCTCCTTTACCCCTCCCTGGAAAAAGTTGTTTCTGTAAAAGGGAAAAAGCACATACACCATTCATTTGATTGACAGGAAGAGCGGGCTGGTAAATTATATTAACTTATCTGCAAGGCTGTTTTTTATGTTAACTTATCTGCAAGGCTGTTTTAGCTGATGTCTTCATACTGAGTGGTCATCAGGGAGGGGAGAGAGTTTTCCTGTCACTGTCAGCAGCTCACAGATCCATACTGCTGACTCAGAGTTCTGCTGCGAGTTCTTTTGGGGAGCCCTTTAGGACCGGGGCAATTGGTTATTCAGTGAAGTCACTTTTTTTCCAGGATTATCCAGTTTAGAGGTTGTTAAGCTGCCCCTGGCCCTTCTCCCGCAATGTGCCCGTTGGCTGTTTCACTGCCCAGCGGAGCGGGAGAGTGGTCAGAGGCAGCAGAGTACAGCTCTGGTGGGAGGAGCTGGGCCCAGTGTCAGCACCGATGTGATGGCTGCGGTCCCTGGAATCTGAGGCCCCTCCGGCCTGGGGCTGGAAGGCACCCAGACTGGGCTTCTTACCAGACTCAGCTGGTGCGCTAGAGACATCTGCTGGCCAGCCCGAGCCTGTCTCCATGCCAGGTGCTCAGATCTGTACGCCAGGCTGGGCTTCCCAGAAGACAGCTGCTTTGCCCAGCCTCCATTTAACCTGCATTTCCACAGTTTCCACAAGACCCTCAGCAGGTGGGGGTGGGGAGGGGGCTGCAGGAAGGACTATAAAAAGGGACTGTGTCCCTGTCTTCAGTTGTTTGCCACAAAGCTATTATTTATATGGCTGTGATGGGGCAAGACCCAGTTAAAAGGGGGAAAGAAGCATGAATGCAAGTGCAGCACCTCTACCATGACCTACCTGCAAAACTAATTGCAATTCAGAGCCCATCTGTGCTGCTACGGGTGCCGTCATAGTCACCATGATGGCAGTTACTGACCTGTGACTGAATGGCAGCCTGCGAGCTCCTATACCAGCCCCCTCTCTTTTAGGGCATCATGATGCTTGAATGCAGTACTGGAGCTTCACCTCATCCATCCTAAATTGTTTTTGCCCCACATGACAAGCCTGGTGGCTACTCCCAGGGCTGCTGGGCCCTGAGTGTCTTTGCGGGGTCAGTCTGTCACCAGGCAGGCTGTCTAACTGAAAGGAGCCTCTGTTCAGAATTCACTTCCTAACAGAGAGCAGAGTTCTGGAAGAGATGGAGAGGGAGGAAGTATTGATTTGCCCACAGATGCATCAGCGACTCAGAAAGCCCCAGGGTCTTCTCCGACCGCCAGGCTGGGCAAAAGGAACCTCTAAGCTTCAGTTCCCGAGTCCCACCCCGGTGTGTTCACAGGTCACATTTATTCTAAAGCAAAAGTTTTGCGCCTTTTTGTGCCAGAAACCCATTTGGCAGTTTGATGAAGCCAATGGACCTCTTCTCAGAATACTTGCTAGTGCATAAAATGAAATATAGAGGAATACCAGGCAATCTCTAACGATACTGAAAAGACAGTCATCAAAATATAAAAACACAGACTTGTGATATGGGGATATATGTGATTTACTAACACATTTTTGGCAAGGTCCAGAGACAAGTCCAATAACTATTATTAAATAAAAGCTGTGATGTGCATAACTGGTAGTAGGAGGCCTGCCACAACTGTGATAAAACATTAAAATACCTGTGATTTTGACCTCTAACAAAGTCACAGGTAGTGTTAATACCTCTGTGATTTGTTGCCCACTTCCATAATTGAAGGAGAGGCTAAGTCTCAGAACTTAGGGAAGGTAAGAATTTAACACTTTCGCCTCCAAGTTCATGGCACTCTGGTTTCTATCTATAGACAACCCCCCCCCCCCCCCCCCCCCCCCCCCCCCCCCCGAGGTTTCTAGGCCCCAGGTGAGGAGCCCTGCTGCAGGGACTCCTGGGTGGCTCAGTCAGTTAGGCGTCCAACTTTGGCTCAGGTCAAGATCTCATGGTTTATGAGTTTGAGCCCCATATTGGGCTCTGCTGACAGCACAGGGCCCACTTTGGATCTTCTGTCTCCTTCTCTCTGCCCCTCCCTTGTGCTTTCTCTGTCTCTCTCTCTCGAGTAAATTAACATTAAAAAAAAAAAAACAGCCCTACTCTAAAAAGTGAAGGCCTCCGAGAGAAGCGGGTACTTGCTCCCCTCGGTTCTGGACCCTCAGGACACTGGGATGAGGATCCACTAGTTCACTGCATCTGACTTAGAGGACCGTTTGTGAGGCCAGAACATGCAGGAGAGCCAGAGAGGAGTCCACACGTTGGGGGTCAGCTGTATTGGTGCCCAAATAAGCAAACTATGGCCGCCTCTGCACAAATAGAGAATTTCTAGAAAACCATTTTCTGTTTGTGGTGAATGCTGAGTCACGTTGTCCTCATACAAGGATGGCTCCCCAGCGTTCTTCTCTATACTCAGTAGTACTGTTTCCTCTGTAAGTGCTGGTTTTAGAACACTAAGTGACCCTTTCAACCCCAAAAGGAATCAAGGCTATAACATACTCCCAGAGAATCGGAGAGACCCTGACTCAAGCAGTGTCAAAATGTCCGCCACAGCCTAGTAACTGAGACTGTTTTGGCCTTTTACTTCCCAGACTGAACTTTTTCCGTGATACTCCAGACTTCCGTGTTTTAGCCTGTGGCGGAGATGGGACCGTTGGCTGGATTCTGGATTGCATCGGTAAGAATGGGGCTGGGAGGGGCTCTCGAGTTTATTTAAAGTCAGAGGAAGGCAATAAACAGGAAAGAGAAATGGAGCCACATCTTATTCATCCTTGTTTCCACTCCTGGACCATTGCTTGACTACAGTGCTTGGCCATTGTATCTACCTTGGGTGGAAGAAAGAAATGGAAGGACAGGTACAGATGTAACTGTTTAGTTTCAGGCCTTGCCTCATAAACATGGCTGGGGTTTGGGCGGAGGTAGGACAGGCCAGATTGGGAAGCTCGTGGGGGAAGAGGGAGGGCGGGAATAGGTCTTCAGGCAGACCCAGGGTAGTGGATAAAGAATTAAGCATAAGTGAGTGGCCTGGGCTCACCTTGGACTGAGCACCTGGAACCTGAGTCCGGAAAGCATGTCTAGAATGCAGATCGGTACAAGCAAAGAAAAGTCATGCTGGGCTGTGTCCGATATGGTTAGATTAGAATGGCAGTGGGGAGAGCCCTGACTGGGAATCAGGAGGCCTGGGTTTCAGTCCAGCTCTGCCTGGATCGGTGGGCCCTTGGATGTCTCCTCCTCTGTAAATGCTGGGGGCTAACTTGTCTGTCATTCCTTCCACAAATACTGCCTGTGCACCTCCACGTACCATGCTCTGCTCCAGGCACTGGAGATGCAGCAGTGAACAAAGAGATGGAAACCCCACCCTTGCGGAGCTTCCTTTCTAGAGGGAGGAGACGGGCAATAAGCGAACAAACAAATAAACAAAAACAAGGAAAATATACAGCATGCAAAAAGTGATAAAAATACAGCAGGGAAGGGGCAAGGAGCTCAGCGAGGGGTAGGGTTGGGTCTACAATCTAAGACTGAGTGTTTCGGGAAGACGTCACACTGCAGATGACGTTTGCATGGAAACCTGGAGGAGAGGTGAACCATGCAGATACCTGAGGAAAGAGCAGTCCCTACAGGAGGAACAGCAAATACAAAGGCCCTGAGGTAGAAGCAAAGCCAGGCTGCTGAAGGCCGCAGGACCGCAGAGTGTGCTTGGCAGGGAGCAGGTGAGAGAAGAGTGGCAGAGGATGTAGCAGAGCGAACGCAGGGCCAGGTCACTAGGACATGTAGGGCAGTAAACAGAATATGGCTTTCATACCAGAAACGTCCCAAGATGCTGGGTGGTTTCGAGCAAAGGAAGGACACAACAGGTCCTGAGAAGAGGGTAGAAGCAGGGAGACCAGCCAGGAGGTACCTGCAGCAACCCGTGTGAGAGGTGACCAAGGCTTGGACAGCAGGAGACACACAGGAAGTGGTGAGGGGTAGTCGGCTTTCGGATGTCTTTTGAAGATGCGGTTCACAGGATGAGGGGAAGAGAGGAGTCGGGGATGGGCGTGGGCAGACCCTGACCGGGGCCGGGAAGGCTGTGCCTCCTGGGGTCGAAGCAGACCACCAGGAAGGGGTGGGACCACACCCGCACACCTGCCACCTTCTGCGCCCCGCGGGCGCTTGTTTCCATGGACACAAGCAGCCACCCACACTCTCCTGTCACCTCCGGCTCTGGCATTGTTTGTGGGAGCAGGGAGGCATCCTCTGGGAGCCGAGGAAGGAAAAGTTGATCAGCGGAGGGTGGATGGCCGCAATCCTGGGAGCCGCTCACGTGGTTCCGTCTCCGTCACAAGGGAGAACGTAGGCGTTGGTGATTTTACAAAGTTTGTCTGCGGAGAACACAGGGGAAAGGATATGCCCAAAACCGGAAGAAGAAAGGTCATGTAACAGGTTGGCAACATGAAGAGAAGTAACAGTGGTGGAAGAGATAACTGCATGATGCTTATTCATTCATTCATTCATTCATTCATTCATTCATTCAAGAATATTTAATTACTTATTTAGCGCCTTCTGCCACCCTATGTTGGTCCTCTCATTGATCTGTTCATACTCTACAACCAGAGTGGAAAGCCTGAATGTCAGTGGGTTCATGATGTGTGCAAAGCCTATCAGTGGCTTCCCATTATTGTTAGGATAAAGACAAAAACCTTTCAAATGATCCTTAAGGTCCTGGTGCTCTAGCAGCTGCCCGCCCTTCCAGCCTTACTTCCTATCTCCATTCCTCCCCCTCTGGACTCCAGCCACCCAGTCCCTCTCTTGGACCCTTGAATATACCAGTCTCCCTTCTACCACAGGGCCTTTGCACAAGTGGTTCCTCCTGTCTGGTATGCTTCCTGGCCATTCCTTGCTCAATGTCAACTTCAGATCTCAGCCAAAGTGTATCTTCCTCAGAGGACCCAGCCTCAGTCACCTTCTTATATGATCACACTTCTTCCCTTTCCAATAAGAATGTGAAACTATGCCTCTTATATGAATACCTCTTTAATATCTGTCTCTCCCTCTCAATCGTAAGCTCCGTGAGAGCCTGTGTCTTGGCACTTGGACCCACTATTAGAGCCATAGCACCTAACACAGCACCAGCACATAGTAGGCCTTCCGTAAATGTGTGCAGACATACTGTGGTAGATGAGAGGTAGATCCCCCAGGAAGGTTGCAGCGCACGATGAGTAGTCAGTTACAAAAGTCAATTGTAAGATCATCCCTAGCGCTGAAGAAACACTCTAGAGACGCACCTGACCCAGACAACGGTAAGCAAGGAGGGCCTCCCAGAAGCAGCGCCCAAGCAACAGAGAGCTTAAGGCTCTCTGGAAATACTTAAGACTTAAGGCTCTGGAAATACTTCAGCATGGTTGACATGTCAAGCAGGAGGCTAGAGCGAAAGGCAGGCCCTAGTGCCATGTTAGACGTGATGAGAGCAGCCGTGACAGAGGGAAAGCAGGGAGCAGGGAAGTGCACTGCTCGGGCTCCAGCTCAGGGAGAGCCTGCCTTGAAGGTGTGGAGAGCCCCTGGGGGCACTGAGGCTGGGAAGGCAGAGAGGAAGCAGTGGCTTTAAGACCAGGGGGAAGGAGTCACACAGGAGAACCCGGACGCCGCCATAGGAATAGCTAGAAGAGACTGTGGGGAGATGTGTTAAGGAAAGAGCACATGGAAACTGAGCAGGGTGAGGGGGGCGGGGAAACTTAGGATGACATCTGGGTTCCTAGCCTCAGCGCCATGAAGTTGTTTGACCTGTTGAGATGGGGACCACAGAAGGAGCAGACATAAGGAAACTAGGGCCTTCCAGGTGAAAGGCGCAGCCTGTACAAAGGCAGGGAGGCATAAATGCAGACCGTGTGTTCTGGGAAACATGACAAAATCCATCACCTTGCTCTGTCCCCCAGCTTACACCTCCTGGTGGTGATCTCCACTCCCATTCTGGTCTGAGCTCCGCCACTTCTGGCACAAGTCACACAGCCTGGGGACCTACGAACTCCCCTCTTGCTGGGGCAGCCCTAGCATTAGCCCAACTTGCTGATTCCTGCTTCGCCCCTCCCCAACCCTCATTCTTCAGTCAGCATGACCCCCATCCCCAGGCGCCAAAGCACGTTGCAGCTTATGTCAGTGGCGCCCTCTGGAGCCCAGGGGGTGCCCGTGCCTGCTCCAGCTTTCTCGGGGTGACCTACATGTTGCTGTAGGCCTGCAGCCAGACTGAACCACACACGTTCTGCTGTGTTTTCTCTAATGGTTCGTTCTGATGCTCCTTCACAACCAGCATGGGAGATCAGGCTAGGAGTTGTGTATTTGCAAGTCTGGGGTGGGGTGGGTGGAAGTGACAAACTGGTACCTGGGTGCCAAATGACACCTTGAGGTTTTGTTTGTCAAACACAATATTATTTTTAAACTTTGAACCTGAATGACTTTAGATGAGGCAGCTTCAGTTTTCCAGAATCCCCCACTATTCCCTGATTTCTCAGACTCACCTGTTCTACGAAACATGCACCTGTCTAGCCCTTGAAGCAAGGACAGGCATGGGCTTGTGATCACAGAGATCTGGATTCGGTCCTGTCTCTGGACTTACTTTCCCTCTCTGAACCTCAGCTTCTTCATCTATGAAGAGAATAATAATTCCTCGCAGACTTAGTCTGAGGGATAAATGGAGAAAGTATTAGTTATGATTACAGAACTGTTTTTGAGGTGTATGCTGTTACCCCAAAGGAGAGAATTTGGATGAAATGAGAATACGCAGGTGCAAGTTACAGGGAGACAGTCAGCTCATTGTGAAAGAATCCTTAGAAGTGGTTCACATGCTGCAGATGGAAGAACCAGCTTTGTGAGGTAGTGTGCTCTCCATCATGGGAGCTATTCAAGCAAAGAATGCTATGGAATCATCCCTGATCTTATGAAGCATAAGGTCAGGGATGATTAGATAACCCAAAGTTTCTGTAATCCAGCGGCATATGATTTCCTCTTCTCTGTGTGGGTTGCAGATAAGGCCAACTTTGCAAAGCACCCACCGGTAGCTGTCCTGCCTCTTGGAACAGGAAATGACCTGGCCCGCTGTCTCCGCTGGGGAGGAGGTGAGTGTGCATGCAGGTGGCACTGCCCTGGGGACAAGCACTACAACCTTCAGTGATGCTCTGCAGAGCTAGGCTCAACTAGCTCAACTCAGTTCTTTTAAGAATTACATTCCAGGGGCGCCTGGGTGGCTCAGTTTAACCTTAAGCGTCTGACTTCAGCTCAGGTCATGATCTCACGGTTCATGGGTTCGAGCCCCGTGTCGGGCTCTGTGCCGACAGCTCAGAGCCTGGAGCCTGCTTCAGATTCTGTGTCTCCCTCTCTCTCTGACCCTTCTTTGCTCACACTGTCTCTATCTTTCTTAAAAATCAATAAAACATTAAAAAAAAATTACATTCCACATGGCCATTCCCTTGCCTTCCGCATCCTGCTGAGATTTGTGCTTACGCCTCAGTATGTTTCTATCTCCCTGAAACTATTGGCAAAGAGCCCGCCTACCCGGCAGGACATAGTCAGCTTTAGGGTAGTCTTATCTATCTCCCCCACGGTACTCGCTTGAGTAGGGGCATGCTTAGGCGTTTTCTGAATAAAATTCCCTCCTCTCCAAATTATTGCTATTCTTCTGATTTAGGACTCAGAATACAAACTTAAAAGCTACATCACTGGCTACTAGGGGCATCCAGATCATGGTAGACCCCCACGTCCATTGTCCTTTTGAAATCCCGCTGTCGGGGACCTCAGAGTGGTGACCAGCTTACAGGGCAAGGGGCAGGAGCTACAGAGAACTCTGTAGATGGCAAGAGTGCCCATGGCACTGGGATTGCTCCAGAGGACAGAGGAGGCCAGGGCAGCACATGGAAGGGACAGAGCAGTCTGGCAGGCAGAACTGGGGTGGGGTTCCAGATGGCTGATCCGTTCAGAGAGGATTCAAGGCCAGGCCAGGCAGCGGTCAGTGTTCAAAGATAGGTATATGCCTGGTGGCAGTAGATGAAGCAGGAGCCGGCCCTAGGCTAGGGAAGAGCCCTCTGCTCCAGAGGAGGATGGAGAAGGTAGTCCCATGCTCCGGACATCTAGGCAGCATAGCTCAGCACAAATTTCATGCAGGGAGAAGTGCCCTGTGCCCCCAGAGAGCCTCAAGGCCCTCAGCTGCATGGTTGCTACCATTGCTAGCTTGTGAGGCATCCCTAGGAAGCCGACCAAACTAGCAATGTGAGAATACTCTTCAAGGTTGTCCTGAAGGTAAGCAGGAACGTGGGAGTGTAATCTGAAAGTGTAATCTGACTCTCCCACTAACCTCTGATGACTTATAATTCTCTTTCTATACCACTTTTCAATTGCGGCATAAAAATTATCGTAAATATAGAGACTTAAAACATCCATTTGTTAGCTCACTGTCGTGTTGGTCAGAAGGCCTGCGATAGCATGACTGGGTTCTTTGCTTGGGGCCTCACAGCCTGAAATGAGGGGGTTGGACAGGCTGTGCCCTTCTCTGGAGTTTCTGAACAGAGAGTTTGCTTCTAAGCTCATTCAGGTTGTTGGCAGAATTGAGTCTTTTGTGGTTGGAGGACTGAAGTCCCTACTTCCTTCCTGGTTGTTAGCTGGGCCCACGATCAAATCCTTGAGGCTTCCTTTTTCCTTGACAAATGAATCACTCCGTTTTCAAAGCCAGCAACAGAGAATCTCCCTCACCTAAAATCTCTCTCAAGCTTTGAATCTATTTCTTAAGGAGAAGCCCAGTCCTTTCTAAGGACTCAGCTGATTAGGTCAGGCCCACTCAGATAGTCTCCCTTGCTTAAAGTCAACTGTGCCATATAATATACCTAATTATGGAGTGACTATACTATCTTATTTATAAGTCCTGGGAGCCTTGCAGGGTATATACCCAAGGAGTGGGGTGGCCGGGGATAGTGGGGACCATCTTAGAACTCTGTCATACTGTCCATCTCTGACATGACAGTCCTGGAATGGACTCTTTCTTGTCCCATGTTCTCCCACCCAGCCAAATAATTCTCTAGGGTTTGTTTCAGCTACATAAGCCTACCCAGCTTTGGCCAGCTCCCACCCATACCCCAACCACTTTGGCTTCCAAATCTCCTAGTTTCTTTTAATGCCCTATTGTCCTATCCTTCTCCATGGCTCAGGGAACCTAAGTGTCTCTGGCCCCCAGACACACTCGGCGGTGGGGAAGGGGGTGGGAGGGGTCTCCTGATCACAGATGCCTACAGGGTTCTCTTCTCTGACACAGCAACTTAGCCTTTCTGCTCTGGGGACAAATGTCATGCCGTGCTCCACAGGTTATGAAGGGGGCAGCTTGACAAAAATCCTGAAGGACATCGAGCAGAGCCCCTTGGTGATGCTAGACCGCTGGCATCTGGAAGTCAGCCCCAGAGAAGAGGTGGAGAACGGGGACCAGGTCCCATACAACATCATGAACAACTATTTCTCCATTGGTGTGGTGAGTTGGTCAAGGATTGCCTTTCTGCATGGAGAAATGTCCCCACTCTTTACCTCTGCCAGCTGCCCCCAGTCTTGACTTGGGTCCAAGCATCCTTGCATCTGGCCTGGACAGGGACACCTTAAAGGTATCAAACTCTAGATTAGTGGAGAAAATTCTTTCCCCTATAATTGTTAACTAACACAAGACAATAAGAAGTTCTTTGAAAAACAAACTTACCCTTTGGATAATTTGAAACAGTTTAAAAAAAGCAACACCAGGAAATAACCAAGGGGCAAAATCAGGAGAAGACTCTCATGTGAGCTTCCAGAGTTGAGAATTCTGATCCTCCAACGAGGACCATGTGGGCCCAAGCTGGCGTGGCTGGCCTAGCTGTCAGAATTCCTTCTCTCCTGTTCTCTCGCCTCAGCTCAACTGCATTGCTACACTCCAGGTGCCCATGAGCCTCTGGGGGCGTCTCCTCCCAGCTGACCTCTCAGCTGAGCTCCATGCTCCTCCTTGGTGCTTCCACCGCCTTCTGCATTCACCCCATTAGTGCGATCTGTGCGTTAGATTGAAGGGATTAGTTTACTGTGCCCTGACACACACCCCCAGTACACACACACACACACCCCCAACACACAGATGCCCCCCAAAACACACCCCCAACACACACACCCAATGCACATACACACACACTGTCCTAACACACAATCCCAACACATACACACATACACAGCACCAACACACACACCTAACACACATTCCCAACACACGTATACCCAATATACCCCACTAACACACACACCCAAGACATACACCTAATACACTCCCAACACACATCCCCAACACACACACACACACACTCCCTAACACAAGACACACACGCAACACACATACACACACATAACACACATACATCCAAGACACACATGCAGCACATACCCCCAATACACATACACACACCCAACACACATACTACCAGCATACACCCTGATGTACTTACACCAAACACACTCCTCTAACACATATCCCCAAAACACACACACACACAACACATATATACCCAACATACACCCCTAACACACCCAACACACAGCCCTAACACACATCCCAACACACATACACCCAACACACCCCTCTAACACAACCCCCAACAACACACATACACAATATACATATGCCCAACACACACACGCATGTGCGCGCGCACACACACACCCACACACACACACACACCCCACAAGAACAGTGACACACTCCTCTTTCTTCCCCCAACCCCCAGCACATCTAGCACAGTTCATTTAATTTATTTTACCAAACTCAGCTTTTGGTCCAAAGAGGACTAGTGTGGACACTGTTTCCCAAACTATTGAGAATGGGATTGGGGAGAAAAGAGAACCATCTATTCCATAGACAGAGCTGGGGTTTCAGAGGGGGATGCAACAAAGATACTAGCACTTACTGAGCACGTATTATATGCTCTCCTCTATGCTAGATCTTAGGTATTGCAATCCTCTTCACAGTCTTACGGGTATTACTGTCCCCACAGTCCCCATTTTACAGATGGGGCCTCAGGACACTCAACTAGTGAGGGCTGGAAATTGACACAGGCACACTGTGCCTTACAGTCATTACTGTTACCCTGCCTTTGGAATTATACTGCCCACTTTCTTCCCCCCACCTTCAGTTACCTTTATTTCAGTCTATACAGTTTAAATCAGATCAGTTTTCATTTAAAAATATTCATGTTATAATACTCAGCATTAAAAATGATCATAATTTTTCTTTGTTTTTAATGTTTATTTTTTTCTTTCATAGTTTATTGTCAAGTTGGTTTCCATATAACACCCAGTGCTCATCCCAACAAGTGCCCTCCCCCATGCCCATCTCCCATTTTCCCCTCTTCCCCCTCCCATCAGCCCTCTGTTCTCAGTATTCAAGAGTCTCTCATGGTTTGCCTCCCTCCCTCTCCCCAACTATTTTTCCCCTTCTCCTCCTCCATGGTCCTCCGTTAAGTTCCTCCTAATCCACCTGTATGTGCAAACATATGGTATCTGTCCTTCTCTGCCTGACTTATTTTGCTCAGCATAACACCCTCTAGTTCCATCCATGTTGCCACACATGGCCAGATTTCATTATTTCTCATTGCCATGTAGTATTCCATTGTATAGATAAACCACATCTTCTTGATCCATTCGTCCGTTGATGGACACTTAGGCTCTTTCCATGATTTGGCTATTGTTGAGAGTGCTGCTATGAACATTGGGGTCCATGTGCCCCTATGCATCAGCACTCTTGTATCCCTTGGGTAACGTAGATTCCTAGCAGTGCTATTGCTGGGTCATAGGGGAGTTCTGTTGTTAATTTTTTGAGGAACCTCCACACTGTTTTCCAGAGGGGCTTCACCAGTTTACATTCCCACCAACAGTGTAGGAGGGTGCCCATTTCTCCACATCCTTGCCAGCATCTATAGTCTCCTGATCTGTTCATTTTAGCCACTCTGGCTGGTGTGAGGTGGTATCTCAGTGTGGTTTTGATTTGTATTTCCCTGATGAGGAGGGACGCTGAGCATTGTTTCATGTGTCTGTTGGCCATCTGGATGTCCTCTTTAGAGAAGTGTCTGTTCTTGTCTTCTGTCCATTTCTTCACTGGATTGTTTGTTTTTCGGGTGTGGAGTTTGGTGACTTCCTTATAGATTTTGGATACTAGCCCTTTATCTGATATGTCATTTGCAACTATCTTTTCCCATTCCGTTGGTTGCCTGTTAGTTTTATTGATTGTTTCCTTTGCCATGCAGAAGCTTTTTGTCTTGATGAGGTCCCAGTAGTTCAATTTTGCTCTTGATTCCCTTGAGTTTGGGGATGTGTCAAGTAAGAAATTGTTGCAGTTGAGGTCAAAGAGGTTGTTTCCTGCTTTCTTCTATAGGGTTTTGATGGTTTCCTGTCTCACGTTCAGGTCCTTTATCCATTTTTGAGTTTATTTTTGTGACATGTTGCTGTCCAGTTCTCCCAGCACCATCTATCTGTTAAAGAGGCTGTCTTTTTTCCATTGGATACTCTTTCCCGCTTTGTCAAAGATTAGTTGGCCATACGTTTGTGGGTCCAATTCTGAGTTCTCTATTCTATTCCATTGGTCTATGTGTCTTTTTTTGTGCCATACTGCCCACTTTCATATGCAAATGAGTCCCTCCAAACACACCATCTAGGCCCAGATTGTGTGATACCTGCATTGTCAACCATCCTCACCTGTTGCTCTTTTGAAACTATTGGTGGCTTTAAAAGAAAACGGAAATAGAAGGGGAAAATAATAGGTAGCTTGGGGGAAGAGCAGCTTTAAGGAAAGGACTTTGTTTTTTAATAAGAAGAGGAAGAGAGGAGCCACAGAAAAGGGAGAGCTGTTTTAAAATACGTTCTATTTACTGGATTTAAAATTTACCATATTTATAGGTATTTTTTTTATTCTTACAACTACATTGAAAGGGGAGTATTTTCTCCATTTTGTAGGTTTGGTTTCATTTTCTGACTCCTAAGCCAGCAGTTTTTCTGTTACTACCAACAGAAGACAGAGGAGGCATCGCTAGGCCCACAGCCAGGGTCTGAGAGGATGGATGATTGGACTGGCAGCATATTTAGGGGACTCTGTGCCCCCACCTGGTTTACCTCCCCAGTCCCCCTGCCTCAGGTGGAGGAGACACCTTTCCCTAGGCCTCTTCCAGATGCCTCCTCAGTGAGTAGGCAGACCCCTCGCTCTTTTTCTTGGCTCAAAGTCTCCTCTCCTTTTTGGGCCACCAGCTCAGGCACCACTTCCCCCAGTGGGAACACACAGCCTTCAGCTATTGCCCATGGGAGCTGCCTGACAGGTCTGGCATTCAGGAGGCTTCCGGAGCATGGGCTTCCCATCATTATGATTTCACAAACACTTGTGTCTTTTTCCTGTAGTGACTGGAGTATAGCTTGCTAACAGCTATTGAGTGCCTGCTGCAAGGCAGGCACAGTTCCCTGTTGGTAGGTATAGGCATTATCCTTCGGCACTTTGTAAGGAGGAACTGAAGCTTAGATCATCAATAAGGAGACGGGTCACAGCTGGTGAGTGATGGAGCTGGAACCACGAATGTTGAACACCAGAGCTTACTGAGCTGTGGACCATGAGCCATGGGGCCTCTGCACAACCCCGTCCATCTTCACAGCAGCATTGTGGGGGGAGTCTCGACATCTAACGCGTGAAGGCTCGCTAGGGCCCTTTGTCAGAAATGTAACTTCCAATCCCATGACAGATCCTAGTTTGTATTCTGATTTGGTTGGTTTGAACAAGGTCTTCGAGTTGGCATTTTTAACAGGCCACCGAGAGAATTATAATGTGGATGGTCCCAACAAAGTCTTCAGTGAGTGGAGATACCCCATCAGAACAGAGAAGAATCATCGAAGGATGTGGACCTACACAGGAGCAGAAAGTAGAACTGAACTAGATGAAGGGGGAAAATGATAGAAAGGAGGGAACCCAGCCTCTATAAGCAGCCAGACAAAAGGGAGAGCTGAGTACCAGGGCTGGGTGCCCAGTCTAGAAACTTCTAGATGCCAGCTTACAGCCATGGCTGCCTTCAGAGTCTTTAGCCCCACATCTTCTCTTTCTTAACACACTCAGCTCAGACTGCCAAAACATGATTCCTGATACCTTTCGGCCTGTCTCTACACAATGCCATATGCAAAAAAATTTCACTCACCCCATATTTCCTGACACACCAAAAAGGAATAAACGGCCTCACCTTAACCAGATAACCTAGGCCTAATCTCAAGAGCCATGATGATCATGGTTTTAATTCATTCTTACAAATAAGTAGGAAGGAAGGAAGTTGAGAGAAAGGAGGAAGGAAGAAGACAGCTCATTGTCCCCCAGGGAAATGCATAAAAACAGATTCTCCATCACACTTAGTGGTCAGGGTATTTATTTGCCTATGGCTGACTTATAATAATCCAATCCATTCAGCTTTCAAGTTATAAAGAACTTCACAGTATCTTTCTCATGATGTTTTTCATACACCTTTAGCTTGTGTGTATTTAACATTGTATTGCGAAGCAGTGAGGAACCAAGACTGTTTTTTATCTCCTTGGTGTACCCTTAGGCTTCTCTCAATAAAATGTTTGCTGGGTTTGTATGCTCGCTCTTTAAAAGTTGGAAAGGGAAATTCTTGAGAAAACAAGTAGCCAACACACAACCCTAACAGAATCTGGGGCTGACATTTGCAGAAGCTCTTCCTCCCTGTTTGACTTCCCAAACTTTGTAAGAGGAGAAGTAGGTATGTAAACCAACCCACAGTTTTACTTCCGTGTGATAATTAGAGTCAGACTCCTTTGGCAAAGAGAGTCTTGCAAAGTCTTTGCCTCTTTTGAAGGACCTGGAATATCTTAACTGATAACAGATGTCTTCTGCCTTGCATGTATAAAGGCAATGACAATAACCATTACTGTGGTGGCCCCAGGTGGTAAAGATTTTGCTCTGACACGTTCACCTGGTCCCCCTGGTGCCAAAAGAATCCATCCAATACATGGAGGGATAAACAGGACACACTCTCCTGGCCCATCTAGAGAGTGACTGTGACCTCCGTGTCACCACATTTCCATCACCTACGTATATACATGCCGGCCCCCTACCAGTGAAGAACTGAGATAGTTGGCCTTCTCCATCCCCCTAACTGATAACATCCATTGGCGGGCGATTTTAAACATAGTCATTCAGGCTGCTACTTCCTCTGGCTTCTCGGGCCTCCTTGTCCCCGCTCTTTATTTTTGGATTTGCAGAAGTGTCAGGATGGCCAGGTATCAGTGACAGGAAGTTTGGGACTCTGAAATAATTCCTGGGGTATGTGTAACTCCAAATGCCTCAAAGGCTCTGCTTTCACTGAGCCTTAACAGGAGGAGTGAACAGCTAATCCCTTGATTCAATGAAATCTATTTCTGATGCTAGGGGAACCCAGGGGCAAGGAGAGGCCACAGTCATCACACTACCCCACGCACCGTCTTCTACCTTACAGATTGTATTTATCAGGCTTCACCAGCTAAGTCTCCACCATGATGAGCCTCTTCCCCTTTTGGGAATTTACCAAAAAGTTATCATTTTCCCTGCAACTTTTTGGATTCCCTCAGTGTCATGTTCTTGTCTGTCACCTGTGAGAGCCATGCAGGTGCTAAGACCATGGGGCTCACTGAGAGATGTCTTGGACAAGGAAGGGGTCTTTACTATTTATCCTCCTCCAGTCTGCCATAAATTTTCAGAATAATCCAGATTCCAAATGATGTGTTTTATTGTCTCCTTTGTCTTTTTATCAGTGTAAGCTGCCAACGTGACTTAGACTTGCATTTGTCTGGTATGATAGCCATTAGCCATATGTGGCAATTGTGTACTTGAAATGGCCCTAGTCTAAATTGAGAGATGCTGAAAGTGTAAAGCATACACCAAAATTAAAAAATATTAGAAAATAATTTTAAATATCTCAGTTTTTAAAGGTCTTATTTATTTATTTTGTGAGACAGAGCACAGGCAGAGGAAGGGCAGAGAGAGAGGAAGAATCCCAAGCAGGATCCATGCTGTCTGCACAGAGCCTGATGTGTGGCTCAAACTCATGAACTGTGAGATTCTGATCTGAGCCGAAATCAAGAAGTCAGATACTTAACCGACTGAGCCACCCAGGTGTCCCAATGTCTCAAAAAATTTTATATTAACTACATGTTGTAGTGATAATACTTGTTAATGAAAATATATTATTAAACCTAATTTTACCTTTTTCTTTTCACTTTTTTAATGTGGCTACTGGGGAATTTTCTATTTATTTCTATTGGACAGTACTGGCCCAGATATCCAAGTATCTCACAGTCCAAATGACTGCTGCTTATATTTGGAAGGGGCACAAAAATCTTTTGGATTTTTAGTGTTAGCTCAGGAAAGAGCAGCCCATCTTCTCCTCTGTACCCTATACCTCATAGGAAGGAACCCAGAGAGTGTGGTCTTCAGAAATGCCATCATTACAATTCCGGTCTCCGTCCCCTTGTCCCTTCAGAACAGAGGTCTCATTTTGCTGTCATTACTACCAAGAAAGATTTGACTCATTGTAGCATTGGCTTCCAAAATTTAAAAGAAATCACAATTGAATATAAATACACCTAACTCAGTGCCGGACACAGAACTCAACAGAAGGCAAAGGTAAATCTCCAGGTAGAGAAACATGGTCAGAGTTAGAGTCTATCAGCATTGCCTTTTCAAGACTGAAAAGGAAAGGAACTGCTTAGCTCTCCCCTGCTACTTTTTGTATTTATCAAGAGATTAAATTGGAACCACATGCTTAACTAATAATATTGTAAAGGCTGGTCTCTGTGAAAAGAAGCTTTGCAAAACCTACATATATATATTATATATAATTATATCTATGTATATATATATAATCAGAACTGTGCAGAGATTGAGGAGCCTGTGCACAGATTCCAGAAAATAAGAAACCCAGGAGCCAGTCACAACACTCCTAGCTGGGGGCGGGGTGGAGGGGGGTGGTCGCAAAGTACGAATCATGCCAGGCAACATGTGATGGCTTTTTTCTTTCGTTTTCCTTCTTTCTTTTCTTTTTTCCTGACAGAAGAAAATTAGTGCTTCAAAGGAACACAAGTAGATGAAATGTTTTCTTGAATCCAAGAGAAGCACTTGACAGATGTCACATGAATCTTATTCAGGGTGTTCACTGAAACTTGCTCAGAGAGCAGGAGGGAGAAGGAAGGCCTGCTGCCTGGAGGAGGCTGTGGGGCCCCGGGGACAGAGGCCTTAAGGGCTTTGTGCATCTCCCACCTTATGTCCACAAGGGTGCCTAACCTTCAACCCTACATGGAACTTAAGGAAAAACGAACAATAACTAGAGCTTGAATGTTAAATTCCCAGAACATTATTTCAGCGGGAGCGTTTGCCAACCACAAACTAAGTCCGTATCCTCGACTTGCCTCTGTGGTGGGCTACTAGCTGGGTTGACTCCTCTGCTAAGTACCAGTCTTACAAAAACCCTTCTTTGCCCCCTAACTTCCTTCTGGACTTTCTGTCCCCATCATTAGCCTGTAGTTTACTCACTGCACACAGCACATGCTCCAAAAAACGTTCTTCACTGAACTCTACCTCCTGACGTGAAAAAATAATAATGACAACATTCAGAAATTATCTCCTGGGAGTCCGTATCAAGAAATGGAATTAATACGCATTCAGTGAAGTGGAATTTCAGTTCTGTTTTAGCCACACGGTCTGGTAGATGAGTTTCTGTAGCTTTTTTCCTGCACATGTCTGAGTCAGCTCCCTTGTTTCTGTGTCACTCCCCACCCTGGCCTGATTCTCCTGTTTATTTCTAAAGCCCACCACCCGCACTGAACATGCTCACATGAGGACTGCGTGGTGAAGGGGCAGAACACGTTCTCCTATGGGAAGATGAGATTGTTCGTGAAGGTGAAAGACCAAATGTGAGAAGGAAAGATGAGCTCGGTTTTAGGTCTGGAGCTCAGGGTTGGTTCTAGAGATCAGAGATGCTAGAAACAAGTGTGAGAACTTGAGATGGCCCATGACATGGAGTGTAGACTGCAGATGGGACTGAGGGCTGAGAAGTTCTGTTCAGGGGATGGAGAACCCAGAAGCATGGCATCATGGGAGCCTTTCTAACTGAGTTCTGAGGAGCAGGTGGCCAGTAGCACAGCAAAGGGGTATGCAAATAGGACAGCAAAGTGTCAATTTAGAATGTGGTCATGTGACTCTTCTTGACCTTGGGGAAAGTCCTTTCTGTGGAGATGAAGAAACAGAAGCCAGAAGTTTAAATATATTTTTATTATCTACTGAGCCTGTTATTCAATGCCACTAATTATCTCTACTGATATAGATGGTTAGAGTTAATATATAACAGCATCTACCAACGTCAGTTTTCTGGTTTTGACAATGTACTATAGTTACATAAGATGTTATTGGAAGCTGGGTGAAAGGGATACAGGAACTCTCTGTACTATTTTTGCAACCTCTTGTGAGTCTTAAAATATTCCAAAATAAAAAGTATTTTTTAAAAGAGTTAATATGGCAAGGCATTTCCAGAAATTCACACTCAGCTCCACGGATCGGGGGGCTTCTGCACTGTAACTGCCCCCACACCCAGACACCCTTCTCTCTCCTCAAAGGGCAGCGGCTTGTCCCCTTCATTCACCCTGAACTGTGGCAGAGAGGGACAGCTGCAAGGAGTCGACTGGCATAGGCTCTACAAGCATTGGTGGCCTTAGCCCCTAACCTTGAACCTGGTGTTCACCCTTTCCTGTTCTCTTCTCTGACATGGACTCTCGAGGTTTGGGGGATTTCAGTGAGAGCCTGTGTGCTCGGTCAGGACCACTAACCAGGTGTCTGCTTTCCTCTCTTTCCCTTTCAGGATGCTTCCATTGCACACAGATTCCACGTGATGAGAGAGAAGCACCCTGAAAAATTCAACAGCAGGTAAGATGCCATAAGGCTGCCGCCTGGCTGCTCGGCCGCTGGCCCCGCCCCCGCCCCCCCGCCCCCCCCCCCCCCCCCCCCCCCCCCCCCCCCCGCACTGCCGGCCAGACCGAGGCCTCCACCTGCTCTCACCCAAACGTTCTTGGCCCGACCGCCCAAAGACATGGCTTTCCTGCCACGTTGCCGGAAGCAGCGTTTCCATTTCCAAGCAGAAAACAGTGTCAAAAACCTGCCCTCCCCTCCCAGAGGATGCTGTGCAGAGGGAGGGCTTGCCGGGCTGGCAAGGAGGGCGTGGTGTGCCCGCCTTGAAGGGGTAGGGATCTGCTGTTTCCTAACTGGAACCCTCTTCAGGGGCTTGGCCGCTTTCTCTAGACGGAAAGCCCCTGCAGCCCCAGCACCCCGGAATTTCTCTGGGGAGGGGCAGGCAGAAAGGCGGGGGCCTCAGCTTCTCTCCGTCTCAAGGGGTGGGGGGAGGGGAGACCGCCGGAGGGCCGGGAGGGCGGTGCCTCCGCGTCCCCTGACAGCAGGGGGCAGCAGAGAGCGGCCCCTGCGGGCGCTGTGAGATCTGGAGCCCCTCCACATTCCAGCCTCAGCCTGCGCACCCTGTGTGTACCCTGGATGTTAGGTCCAAAAATACAAGGAGAGAGAGAAAACAGGATCTTTTGCAAACAAAACTAAGCCCTTCTTGCTAGCAGGAGGGAATTTGCAAGAAGTGAGTTTGACTGACATATAGCTACCCCTGGGATTGTTAAAATACCTTTCTCCATTCTTCCTCCTTTCTTTTTTTCTTCTCTTTGGTTGATTTCCATCCTTTTCCCTCTTTGTTGTACCATTTCAAGATGACCATTGGATCCCACCCCACCCTCAAGCAGGTGGGTAGGAAGAATGCAGACTGAGCCTGAAGGGAGTGACTGACTTAGTTAGCAGACAGGATCCTCTTCAGAGCAAAGGCCCAACCTTGTCTGAAGACATCTATTTAAAGCCTCACACCCCGGGAATACCGCCATCGTTTTTATCCCTACTCCTTTCCCCTGACCTCACTGCCTGAGACGTTAACTGGAAAAAAAAAAGTCTTTAACGTAACATACTTCAGCTTCAGGAAACGTGATCTGTGGGATCTGATAGCTGAACTCCTCTCCTTAGGGTGGGGGTTCTGTCCCAGGCATATTCCATCTGTCTGTCTCACACAGCTTGTATACACTCACGAATCGCTACTAACAGGTGATTGTTAAGAGTGGGTCCAGCCCTACTCTTACTGCAGCCGCAGACTCACAGATCAGCTGACTTCCCTCCTCCCCCCACCCTACACCTTCTGTGTCACTCTCACATCCACACTAAATCATTCCTTCTCTTCTGTCCACTGTAGACTTTTTGGGTCCTCTTTTCACAGGGGTCCCCTTATGCATAGTCATACACCTGTACGTGTTAAGATGTCATATGCTTATGAAATCCATAGGGGCTCTGTTCATTCATCCATCCAACACTAGCTTTTGAAAACATACTCTGTGCCAGGCACTGCTCTGTAGGTGTTTGGGATAGACATGTGCAGGAGCTGACCGTCCAGTGCTGCAGACATGCAGAACGACTTGGGTTAAGTGGTATGAATCGAGGTAACCTATGGGAACAAAAGCAAGGGCATGGAATTTGGTGTGGTGGGGCTTCCCAACCATACGGATGCCAAGACACGGAAAACAAGGATGTATTTGCCAGGTTGACAGAAAGAGAAGGGCTGCCCAGCCCGAAGGAACCAAATGTACAAGATAACAAGGAATGAGAGAAGGTAGGATGCTTGAGGTAGAGCAAGGGGTGCTGGTCTCTTGGCAGGGAAGAAGCAAAGTCCCTATAGTTTGTAGAAAGTGAGGAAGCGGAAGGAGGGGGAAATTTCTCCATATTACAGAAATCAATAGGTCAACATATGACATAAATAGAGTAATCATCAATTATCCACATGATTAAATACAATTAGGAAGATACCTCTATCAGGGGAAAAAAAAAAAAGAAAGAAGCTGTAATTGCACATTTCTTAGTGATCTGGTGACTGTTCTTCCTTCTCACTCCCCCAATTCCATTAATAAGACTAATCTCCAGTGAGGTACACACCCTTCCCCTGGTCAAGGTCAAGGTGGCCTGGTTGCCTGGGATGGCAGGCACACAGATTTGTGTGTAAATCTATGTGTCTGCAAGTAAGCAGAGACATAGGGGCACAGAGGTGGGCCCTGTGTCACAAGGTCCTAGGACTCTTCCCAGTAAGAACTTTGAGTCCATGCTGCTTCTCCCGTGCCTGCTTGCTCATGTTGAAAATACTCAGGAGTGCCCAGTTTGTCCACTGAGAGGCAGGCAAGCAGCCATTTTCCCCAGGCTTCCTTATTTAGCTTTGGAGATGGTTTTAAATAGGCAGGTGGTTGTTGCCATGGTTACCCCATTACACCAGCGGCTAAACTTAGGAAGGGCCACAAGGGATAGGAAGAAAGCTTGATACCCAGGATTTGGAAATGTAAACGATATTATCAAACAAGGCTTCATTTTACTCGGCTGAACTTAGGTTTTCCAGAGAGTTGTCAGTGCTTGGCTGGATGCCCTTACCGTTAAGGTGCAGGACTGGGCCCTCGGGGATAACCCTGAGGTTAAATCTAGGGTGCTGTACCTGTTTTGTTTTGAACTTGGCAGTGTGTTTTGAACAGGGCTAGAATTTATCGGGAAACTTGAATCTTTCACATTGCTCATTCAGTTTTCTGGGCTCTTCTCACAAAATTTTTTTACCTGAGGTACAGAGGCTGCAGGAGCTCTGAGAACACTTTGAAATTATATGTAAGACATTGAATATAATTTTCTGGAGACAAAGTCCATAACAATGAGAAGGCTTTCACAAGGACCTGTAGCCCTTATATGGTTAAAAAGTCACCATTCTGAGGCTTCTTTGAATCTTAAAAGGGGTATGAGGTTTGTTTGGTTGGGGTTTTAGGAAATTCTTCCTCCAGTGGCTTCTCTATACAGGTTGTTGCCAGAGAAGGTGGTTGGTTGTACAAAACTGAGTTATGTCCCTAGAGGAAATAGGAGTCAGAACCAGACCCAAGGATGCAGGAACGTAAGCTACGTGTGATGGGCAAGGATACAAAAGCCTTTAATGGCAGAGATGGGACTATGTTTGGTACGCTGTGCATCATAATCATTGACAGTCTAATAATTAATTGTTAATTTAGGAATGTTATGAAAATTATCCCCTTGTAGTTGGCATAAACAACAGAAGACAGATTTGATTTAACTTGAGGATTCTAACATGTGTTAGAAGGTGTTGTAAGCTACAAGGGTAAATAAGACCTGGTTCTTGCCTTCAGGGAATTCACAGTCTAGCAAAGAAGGAAGAATGATCTTCAAATATTTTTTACAAAGTGATTTTCACATACAAGGAGATCCCATTTTGTAGGTCATTGTATAAGACACTAATTAATGGTTGTATCCCTACATCACCTGTAAATGAGTTTAGAGTACAGAAATGGTGTTACAAGGGAACCGAACTAAGAACTGTTATTTTTTGAGTTCTTACCAGGTGCCAGGTGATAAACTAGGTTCTTTAAATATATTAGATTGGGGCGCCTGGGTGACTCAGTCAGTTAAGCATCCAACTTCGGCTCAGGTCATGATCTCACAGTTCGTGGATTCAAGCCCCACGTAGGGTTCTGTGCTAATAGCTAGCTCAGAGCCTGGAGCCTGTTTGAGATTCTGTGTCTTCCTCTCTCTCTGACCCTCCCCTGCTCACGCTGTCTTTCTCTCTCTCTCTCTCTCAGAAACAAATAAAACATAAATAAATAAATAAATAAATAAATACATTAGATTATTGAAATCCCATGATCACCCTACAAGATAAATATTAGAGAAAGACATTTTACAGATTAAGACACTGAGGCTGGGAGAAGCCAAGTCACCTACCTGAAGTCATGCATCTTTTCTTTTTTTAATAAATGCCTATTTATTCTTGAGAAGGGAAGGGGCAAAGAGAGAGGGAGACAGAGGATCCGAAGCAGGCTCTGCACTGACAGCAGAGAGCCCATTGTGGGGCTTGAACTCACAAACGATGAAATCATAACGTGAGCCAAAGTCAGATGCTTAACTGACTGAGCCATCCAGGCACCCCAAATCATGCATCTTTTTAAGCACCAGAGCTGATGCAATTCTAAGCTAGCTCTAGACTCCTCCAGAGTTCAAACTGTTTTCTGTACCTGGTATCTCCCGTGGATTTCACTGGTCAAATATCAAACACTCTGATGGGTACTATATGCATGATCCCACTCAACAGAATAACATACAAATTAACATGTTATCCCCATATTAAATACGAAAACATTAGGCTAAGGAGGGCAGAGCTTTTATCAACTCTATCCACCTGAGGATTACTTCTCATGGGAAAATGCCTGCTGAGTTCCAGAGGGGGATCACAGGTACACTATCCAGTTTTAACTCATATGGTCTGACTCTTCTCTCTATCTCAATGTCCACAGCACAGAGCGGGACCAATTATGTGATTTGTGTGGCCCAGTGCAATGTTAAATACAGGATCCCTTGTTCAAAATTATTAAGAATTCCAAGTCAGTGACAGCAGACCATTAATTAAACCAAGCACAGAGCCCTTCTAAGTGTGGGGCTCCTTGCAGCTATGCAGATTTCACTCCGATGAGCTGGCCCTGGCAAGAAGAGAGGAATTTATTTTCTCAGTAAACCTCACATTTGCCAGGGCTCACAGGAGTGGAAGGAAGTTTGCAATAAAGGTAAAAGAATGGAGGAAAGAGGGCTTCAACTAAGGAGGAGGGAAGGAATTATAAGTACCTCATCAGCATTAGCAGATGAGCTGATGACACCCCTAAAGTCTTCCAGATATCCAAGAACCAGTTCTCCACGAAGATGAAGTTTCTGGATTAACTCTCTGTGAAGCATTGTGTGTGTGTGTGCGTGTGAGAGATATACATGAAGACTACCAAATTGCAATGTCACTGTGGTTGAGTGTC